ACTGTTTATGCAATGATCACACATTTGTGGGCAGTGTAGTTAAAAGTGTACGAAAAAAACACCGCTGATTTGTCTCTAATCCAAATTCCACAAAGTCCAAAAACTGACGACGCCTGCTGAGACTCTGCTGACTGCTGCTGCCGCCTCTCGTGTGTTGTTAACTCGATGTGGAAATTAAAACTGACGACTGACGTTGCCCGTTGGCTGTTGCAGCTGAATGCAGCCCAAGCAGCTAGCGGCAAGCAGCAAGCAGCTAGCAGCAGCAGCAGCTGTCAGCCAACGCAACAGAAACAGCGCTGCCGACGTCAACTGCAGCTGCGACTGCTTGTAGTTCTTGTTGCTACTGCTGCTGCTGCTGTTGTTGCTGCTGTTGTTGTTGTTAAAAGAAAACTGTTACAATTTTAGGCCAATTTCTTTGTGAAGGCGAGGCGACGCGACGCGAACCAACAACGAGTGTTGACGACGACGACGACGACGACAATTTCGATGGCCACGCGGCGTGAATGAAACTTGCAGCTCTGCGCTGCGCTCTGCTGCTGCTTATCCAACTGTAAATGTATGTGTGTGTGTGTGTGCCCATGTGTGTGTGCGTTGTGCTATGTGCTGGTGGCCCAAAGACGCTCAAGGTGAATATACTAAGCAGCAGCGCTGGGCTGCATGCATTTTTTGTGGCATTTTTATTTTTGTACGGTCTGCAACATTGCTGCAAGTTGCCAAAACAACAACAAACAAACACGCACGCACGCACACACACACACACACACACATACACACTGGGCGAACGACGTGAAGAAACCCGTGAAACTTTTGATTTCGTTTCGGCGCAAAAAGTCAACTGCAAACTACGCTGCTCTAATGCTGAAGCGCAACTGTCAGCTGCTCAGCTCGTTCAAAAAAGCTAACATAATCATCCACACACACAGAGAGAGACAGAGAGAGAGCGCGAAAGAGAGCAAAAAGAGCTTTTTGGAAACTTGTACGAACATGAAGAAGAAAGAAAGAAAAAAAAAACAGTAGGAAGCAGCGCACAGCTGAAGCTTTAGTTGTCGCTGCAGTTGACCCTGTTGTTGTTGCTTTAACTATTATTTTTATTTTGTAGTTTCGCATGACGCAAATGTAGTAAAACGGGGGCCACACACACACACGCACACACACAAGCTAGCATACAATGTATAACAAGCTGTCTCTCACGTTTGAGTTGAGCTAAGGCTCGCCCTCAACTAAAGCATGCTATCTCACTCGCACAACAAAATTTCTCATGTCAATTGCATTTTGCATTGGGGCGTTAATGTTCAAGGTGAGTTACCTCTGTGTATGAGTGCGTTTGTGTGTCTATGTGTGAGAAGGCGGCTTGCCATGTGTCACACTTTTTGAACGATTCTCCCGCTCTTTAAATGTGTGTGTGTTTTGTGTGTGCGCAATTATGCGAAATTATCGATCAAATTTTTGTGTTCTAAGGTCAACTTAAATTGAAAATTAAGTTTTATATGTGAGGCTAGCCAGGCACAGCCAGCTGGTAATCGTTAGTTCATCTCGTTGTGCATGACTAAATCCACTTTGTGTCATTATCATCAGTGGAGTTGACAATATACGATATATATATATATACATATATACATTATACATTTATATAAAGCTCAATTCTCATATGAGAAAGCTATAAATGTAAACCTTAAATCTTTATCAAATCCTATTCGACTTTTAATCTTTTCGATTGGTTCTGGCACTCATATTGTACAAGTATTATCAATATTTGAAGTATTTTAACAATTTAAATAAATAAAACAGCCACATATTTCTATTAGCAATTTATTGATTTCATATGCTACTCGTATTATTCATATATTGACTAATTTCAAGTGCAACGTTTGCGGAAGTGCACAGCGAAGCAGAATCAAAAATGCGAAAGCTTTTTTTTAGCGACTGCTGTTGTATCACGTGCTTTATGTATATGAAATTAACAGTTACGAGATCAAAGCTTCCGCAATTCGCACAAAATGTTATCGTTGATGGAAACTCGCTGTGTATATTGGAGCCCATTTAATTATCGGCTGATTTATTGCATGCAATTTCGCAACAAAATGGCGTCAATCAGTTGCACTGTTTCCCTACTTGCACTATTCACAACCCATGAAATATATATAGCAATATGTATATTATTTCAAATTGGGAACACAAGTTTTCATTTCGATACAAATCGATAACAATTAAGTCTACAAATTTCACGACATGTCTTTCTTATCTATACTGTATATACCCTAGAATAAAATTGATCATCTGTTAAGATCTCATCAATAGAGCTTGAGCAACACACGGTTTGCAAACAGTTAAATACTTCTTGGGTTGAGGGTATTTCCCAGCGAGCTCTCTCGTCTCGAAAATTCTTTCTTTTTTTATTGCTTTGGTTTTATTATCTTTTCACTGTGAAATCTGCAAGTCAAAGCTTGATTTCATCACAAAAACCTGATATGAGGTCATCTGCTGCGATTAAACTTTGACAAACTGGCAGTAGACAAAAATTGTATTTGCTAATAACTATATATATATATATATATATATATCTATGTATATATATATATATTACGTAGGTAATGGAATAATAAAAGTGTTTCAACAAAAGAAAATCATGTGATGTGTAATACAACTGATTACATAAGCGTCAGACTACAGATATATAAATATTTATATAGATATATATAGTGTGTGTACAAGAAATAAGCAAGAGTAGAGAAAATCAATTTCGCTTTCCTTGACCTCAACAAGGGGCTCTCTGCACACACCAATACGAACCAGCACACACACACACACACACACACACAGCCACAGACAGTGGGGAAAAGTCAGTCAACAAAGGATAATTGAGGGTCATTTGAAATGCAAAAGTGACAAAAACTGCAAAGCAGACGCTGCAGCTAAATGCAAATAAATGTCGAAATAATGTCAACTTGCCTTTCTCGAATCAGATACAAATTAGAAATGGCTTTGCCCCCTTCCCCTAGCCCGCTCCGTGCATCTCTGCCACACAAGCTGTCAATGAGCCAAAAAGCCGAAAAAGCGAAACGAAAATAGAAAATGTGCAAACTGCACGCGATTTTCTTTTAAGCCAATTCGAATTGGCAGCCGCATGAAAATCGCTGCTTTAATTGTTTTGGCCAAATGCGTTCAACTTCAAATTACAAAAAAAAAAAAAAAATACATCAAAATAGAAAAAAATTTCACTCACATTATTAATACGGACTGTTGACTGCTGCATTAAATTTTCATGAAAACTTTTCAGAGCGTTGCTTTTCGTTCATTCGTTGTGGGCGCATTCAAGCGCATTTTCATCATTTCCCAACCACAATACCCCTCCTCCCCCTCCCCCTCCCATCCCATCCTGCAACACTTTATCAACCCTCGTTTAAAAAGTGCGTAATGATTTTGTTTGCATAGGGCAATAATTATTGGGTAATTAAATTCAAATTAAAATTGTTAAATTATTATAATATAATAGAAATGTGTAATAACAAGTAAATGCTGAATATATAATTTATATATGCAATTTTTGTACTTCTTCGATTTCGATTTCGATTATTTTTTTTTTTTTTTAATATTTTTTGTGTCGCGCTTTTTGCTTACTTAAAATTATTTTTGATCGAATTTTCTTAATGATTGAATTTTCATTTGTAGCAAAAACGTTTGACTACAATTTCATTTGTTTCTTTTTATTGGGTAGATAAATGAAAATTCATTGAAAAAAAAGCTTATGACTAAGAAACATTTAGTATGGTCAAATGAAATACAATCAATCAAAGTTAAAGCAAAAACTTTAAGTTAATGGAAAACACCGGAAAAACAAAAAAAAAAAAAACATTTGGACTTGCAAAGAAAATGTAAAACTTAATTGTCAAATTTGCAAACTTGACTCACCCTGTGCTGGCACTTGCAATCGCCCTGGTTGTTGTTGCAGCTGCTGTTGTTGTAGTTGTTGCTGTAGTTGTTGCTCTTGTTGTTGTTGTTGCATGTGCGCCAAACGGCCACTGGATACCACCAGCTGTGTTCACTTGCTTACACAATATTCAAAGCGAGCACAGGGCAATATCCCAGTGGCAATTGCACAGCGAAAAGCTTTTTTTCAACGAAAGCTTAGTGGGGACACAAACCATATCTGCTGCTGCATGTTTCTTATTGCACTTTTCACTTGGCTAATTTTCGTCTCTTTTTATATTTCACAATTGTAAACATTAAAAAACATTTTCACTCAAGTTGATTCAAAGATTTTAAATAATAATAAAATATGTTTCGTACAAACTTGAATTTAATAAAATACAGCAATATTTGTATTGGAGATAAAAGGTTTATTATAATTTAAATCAAGATTTTTCTTTTAATTTACAAAATTCAATGTTCAATTTTGAAAAAAAAATTACTTTTATAATTTTAATGTTTTTGTTTTACTTATTTTCAATACATTTTATTGCCAATTCTTATGATTTTAAGATTTAAAGTAAAACAAGGAACAATTCTCTAGTCGAGAGAGCTCTATTAGTATATACCCAACACTCAGCTGTTAATTATAATAGGGTATTGAGTATCTAACTAGTCCTGCAACTCCGAGACAATAAAATCATCTGTTTGTCGCACGCTTTGGTTAACCAAATCTGTATTTCATAACCGATCATATTTTTTCCAATCGATTGAAAATCAGTTATTAGAAAGGCTCCAAATTTACGACTAGTCTTTTATTGCTATCGGAAATAGATTAATATCGATAATCGCGAAACTGGGACATTTATCTATAAAATTATATAAACGGCCGTTCATATGGACAGACATATGGCTGTATCTACTCGGCTTTTGATGCTGATCAAGAATATATATATATATATATCCGAGCTGCTTCCTTCCGCCTGCTACACACTGTTGCACAACTACATTAAATATGCAATATTGATTATTATAATATTTTTTTTCAATATGATTTGAATTTATTGATTGATTAAATTCAAAATATTGCCATATTTTATAAAATGAATAAACCTTTGTTTGAATTTTAAAAAATGCACACTACTCCACCGTAATTTGCCAGCTGTCCCTCAACTAAAAATATATATATAAATATACCAATGGCACACACATACAAATGTTTAGCTGTATATATATATATGAACATAACTCAACTGCTGCTTACGCATCGCATCTTGTTAAATGGGCTTGTTTTGTTGTGCGTAAGTGTGCGTGTGTATGTCTCTGTGTTTATTTGTGTGAAAAGGTCAAAAGCTTAAATAAAAACAAGCCAAAAAATGTGTTGCATATGCCAAGGCGCAATTGTGTATCTTGTGTCTGTCCGTGTGTGTGTGTGTGAGCACAACATTAATTATCAAAAGTTTCGATTTCCCATATGTTATACAAGTTTACACACAAACACACACACATACACAGTGAGAATCCCACTCTCGTTTGGACACAGCTTATTTTAAGCTATTAATCAATTTTCACCAGATTATGTTATTTTTGCCACATTTTCGGCACACAATTAACGCACTCATATGGCAACTTTACCAACACACACACACACGCGAACACACACGTATAGAGACAGAGACAGAAGGAGAGTGAGAGTGAGGCCTGACCTCGCCTGGAGAGCGCTCAACACTGAATAAGTTTGCGCCAGGCTGGCAGCAAGCAAGCAGCAGCAGCATCCTATCGACGCTGCAGCTGTGGTTCGCACAGGTGCGCGTCATCGTTTCCCAGTAAATATGCAACAGCATTATTTACACACACACACACACACGCACGCATACATGAAAGAGAAAGTTTCGGGGCAGCTGGCAGCATTAAAAAGCACTCCTTGAGAGTACAACAAAAGCAAACAGTTGGCGGACGTCGGCAGCGCTGCCTGGCCTTAAGTCGCCCACGCAAAAGCTATTGCAAAAAGCTTTCGCCTCACATTCTCCCACATACCATGCCCGTTTGTTTTTGTTTTTGTTTTTCTTTTGTCCACATATTCACTTATTTACTTCTCACACTCATACACATATACGTACCTGCGCTGCCAGCAGCAGCAAGCAAAGCTTAGCCTATCGGCGCTCTCTCTCACTCTCTCGTTTCTCTTTGCTCTCTGCGCTCAGCACTTTGGCTTCGCCGGCTTTTTATGGTGCTCTGGTGCCGCCTTCGTTGACTTCGCTGCCGCGTCAAGTTATATGGAACATATACGTCTGATGAGCAGAGCAAGCAGTAGCAGCAGCAGCAGCAGCAACAATAAAAGCAATTTTCAAGTTCAAGTTCTGCTGCTCAGTGCGCATGCCATGCGCCATTTTTGTTTGCCCGCTCGCTCTCTCGCTCGCACACGCGATGCAGCAGCAGCACTGCACTTTAATTGTCGTTGTTGTTGTTGTACTGCCTGCTGTTGCTGCTTTTTGCTGTCGTCATGCGAAAATTGTGGACACATTTTTTTTCAACTCTTCCTCTTATCGTAATCGCTCGCATGATTTATTTATTTTTTCTTTTCGTTCTTTGTGTTTACTTTCATTTCGCAGGCCTTTCTGTTCGTGTGTAGGGGCGAGTGTGTATGTGCGTATGTGTGTGTGTGATTGCTGTTGCTGTAACTGGATTCAGTTCACTCGACTGTCGCTGATTACACTTCCATGCTGACGCTGCTGATGCTGCGCTGTCCGCCACACTAAAAATAAATATACAAAGACATTTTTTTTGTTTTGAGATTCATTCATAGGTAAATATTATCTGAACGAAAAATGCATGAAGAATCTACAAAGAAAACAAAATTAATATCATGTGTGTGTGAGTGTGTGTGAGCGAGATGGGTAGCTGCAAGTAATTTTTGAATTTAATATTTTCTTTTGCATTTTTCTAGTCAGGTGAGTGTTTTAAACACAGACATCTATTTCAAATACATTTGAACAATCTGATGGTTGTTTATTATTTGTTAATGGATTCAATAGATAATTAGGTATTTTGCCTAAAATTACTCCAATATGGCTACAGACGTATACGAAATTCGACATTTAATGCTTGTTTTTTGTTTTTGTGTCGAGACACACGTGCGATTTACTCACTTGGCAACCCTATTGTTAATATTGGAACGTGGTTGTTCACACACACATATATATATATATATATACATATATATTAGTCAAATATGCATGTATCTGCGCATATAAATAAAGTACTCAAAAAATGGAAATGACTCAGTGAGGAATTTTCTTTTTGAAATGCAAACAAAAGTTCAAAATATATGCATATACATGCATATATATATTTATATGTTAATAAATATATAATACATATAATCCTACGGCTCCATCAATCTTGGCTAGTTAATATATGAGGTGATTATAAGATCATTTAAATCTTTGCCTGTGCTTCCACATTATTTATATTTTGTGAATAATTTATGTCTGAAAAACAGTATCAACAAAAATTGTATCATATATTGCATGTGATTAAATCTGTGTTAATTATGCATTTATCTTTTCTCATTTTAACTTTGATTTTCTTTCTTAAATTAATCACCTTGAACTACTTACTCTTAATAATTTAATAATTTTCGATTAATACACTAATTTGTTTAGCAAACATTTTTCAAAAGATTTCGAAATTCCAGTAAATACATACATAAATATTGATGCATTTTTTATAGCTTTTTGTAACACATTAAAATTATGCACACATGTTTTTTCAGGGTATTTTACGGTTGCTTAAAGTTCGCACAGTGCAACGAACTCGGAAACTAATTAACAGCAAATTCATGTAAAGATATGTGTGGAATTCATTTTGGCATAAAACAACACACACAAAAATACAAAAACACATAAATTATATGCATACAACATTCGGTGGGTTGCATGGTTAATGGCGCATTTCGCGACCTTGAACATTTTTGAGCAGTGCATTTTTATTAAAAGCACCAATCGATTTCTGTTTCCCAATGTTCTTGTTGTAAGCTAAAAATCCATTAAGCCAACGTTGTTGGCGCGTTGGCATTTAATTAAATGAAGAGCCAACAGTTCATGTTTGGAAGGGAAATGGCAAGGGGAAGGGAAAGTGGACGAGGCGATTACGATTGCATGCGTGCAAAAAAGTAACCGTCAACATCAATTCAATTAAAGCAACGTCCAAGCAAGACCGGAATGCAAAGCTCACAGATAATAGAAATGTACAAAAAAAAAGAGAAAAGACGAAAAAAAAACAGCGCAAAAATTACCGCGAATAAGCATTTTAAAAAAAGTCAACGCCGTCGGTTATTTTAAAGCTGTTATTGTTTTGTGTTTTTTTTTTGCACAACAGAGAGAGACAAAAGGAGAGAGCGGTAGTTCGATATGATAGAGAGCAGCGCAACTGTAGTAGTTATTCAAGCGTGCGTATCGTTTTTGATGTACTTGTTTTTTTTTGTTGTATCTTTTGCATTTTTTTTTTATAAAGTTTCGTTAAATTTGTGTGTGTTTGACGCGCATTGCTTTTCGGTTGTGCTTTTCGTTGGCTTCCTCTTCCTCTTTGTTTGACGCCATTCTCGCTGTCTCTGTATCTTGCGCTCTCGCTTTGACCTGCTGTCTCGTTTCTCGCTTGCGCAGCGAAACGTGCCAAACGGGTTTATCACACATTTCCACACACACACAACACAGAAATATGTACATGTATACACTTATATACAGACACTTATACTATAGAGAGTTAAAAGGGAAGCACTGTGTATGTGTGTGTGTGTGTATGGCAAACTGTTGCCTATTCGCTTACACTCGCGCTGCTGTATGTACAACTAGTATCTTAACCTTGAACTTGAAACACATACAAAACAACCCGCCGCCGCCACCTCGACACACTGAATGACAACAACAACAACAACAACAACAGCAACAGCAGAGGAACGAAACGAGAAATGGAAGGCAAACGAAACTGACGCCAGCTCGTTTTCGGCGTTTTTATTTTTGCTGCGTTCTTCTTTTCACTCGTGTGCCATGTGTTATGTGTTTGCGCTTACGTATTATGTCTGTGTGTGTGCGTGTGTATGTCTGTACGTTAACATTATTTTTTATTTTTTTCTATTTTTTTTATGTTTTGAGCTTTCTACACATATTTCTACTCAACTTTTGCACCTTTAACTTGTTAACTGCGCTATCGATTCGCTGGGAATAAACCGACCCGCTGTTGAAATTGGGATGCTTTTCTTGCTGTTCAATTTATAAATAAATATATATTTATATTTGAGCAATATAATCAATAGCTTCGCGATAATCGATGGGATTTACCGGTTTTATTTTGTTGAATGTTTGCTAACTGCACCTCTTTTTACAAACAGAGAGAGAGAGAGAGTGATAATCTTTTATAGAGGGGATTTAATGCGTTGGAAATATTATTAAATTCTGCTGCAAGTTACATTTTTTTCAACAATTTATAAAGTTGTTTTTTTTTTTTTAGGATGGTTGACGTATTTGAAAACAAAAGATAAATAAAAACAGAAATTAAATTTAGTCTCAATAAAGATTTTAATTGACATTATTAGTTTATTGATTTCTATATATATTCATAGGTCTATAATTGCAGTTAATTTGTATATTTCAGCAACCACTGTACTTATTGTACTTATTATTTGTATATCTTGTTAAGTAAACAGGCCAATAGATGACGCCACTTTTGCAATTATCGCAAAAGCGTAAAGATGACTGCCCCATTGCACACCTCTCTCTCTCTCTCTTTCTCTCACACACCCACAACCCACACTCTCCACGCCTATCCAATCCACTCCCACCTCCTCATTCTCCTGTTGATCTTAATTCGCATGCCGACGACTCTGTTACGTAAACGTTTTCCAAATCTCACATTGTGCGCGCAAACAAAAACAACACGCAAGCAAACTTGACTCAAAGCCTTAGATATAAAACACATATATACAAATGCACATACATATACATACATTCACACATACATACACACATACATATATGTACAAAGCGAACGCGGCACATGTTGTTTTGCGGACCGTCAGCAGGTAAGTTAACTAAAAGAGACATGGGAGAGAGAGGGGGGCTCGGCTCAGATCTTGATTGTGAGAGCCTACATACACACATACACACACACACACACATTTATATATATATATTCACATATACCTTCAACTGTATTTGTAGATGAGTGGGCAGCAGTAAGCAGTCAACGAGTGCATCAGAATATTACATAGCATTGTATTGCAAGTACATACATATATACATTCATACATACATATATTCATACATACATACATCAGTACATATATGTATACATTTTATACGTACATGGATATTATTATTATTGCGGTTTACAATTTCACAGAATTGTTTTGCAATAGCTGTCGATGTCATATTTATATAACAGTTGAGAACAAGTAAGGAAGCTTTGGGAGTGAGCAGAGAGATCGACTAATACATACCCTGCCCGCCGCTTACTATGTACATACTCACATACATATTTATATATATATATGATGTAGACATTTTAATTCGCGTTTCTCCACCGATCTTGCATTACATTTACAGATGATCATTCTCCATTTGAAAGATATAGACTCATGGTTTGAAATCGATTTATATCGATATCAGCGAAACGGGAACAGCAGTTAGCGATCGATAATTTATTATCCAGATTCGACATCTTTTATAGTCTGATATTTTCTAAGATCGATTATTTTTATTGATTCTGATCAACAATATATGTAATATCTTATGAGTTCAACGATGTTCCCTTTTCTGCCTGGTACAGGCTTTTACACATCATCATTATATCCCCTTACCCCTTATTAATGGTTATAAAACATATAAAAACGGTTGCAACCATTTTAGAAACGATTTCATTTTGTCGGCTAAGTCGCGTGATCAAAACAAAGCAGCTAGCACAATTTGAAAATATTTAATATATATGTATAAAGATAGGTTTTTTTATAGAGAAATGAGAATTAAGTAACAAATTCTTTTCAGCTTTGAAAACCTTTCGTGAAAGGTAAATTACATGCATTATACGTAAATTTTGAAAAGACTTATTCCATATTTACTTACAACAATGACTTTAAGATTGGGTTGTTAGCTTAACAAATCTGAATTTTCTACAAAATAAAATCACATTTAAAAGCAAGCATTTTAAACTTCTGTTTAGTTTATATATTTGAAGAAGTATTTACAATTTGTTTTGAAATGTTTTATGATTAAGTAGATATATTCTTGATCAGCATCGGTAACCAAGTCGATGTAGACACAGATTCTATGTTTACTTGCTTAGTTTTAGAGCTATTTCTTCAAGCAATTTATCGAAACTATTGCGGACATTGGAAAAATCAGTAATAAATTTAGAGCGTGAAATTTTGATGCAGGCGTTTTGACTCCAGTCAGCAAGAACTTTTAATCTTCAACTTCTGCTTGAAATAGCTGAAGTTTATAAGCCAATCCTAAATAATTAGTTAAATTTTAATAAGTAAATGTTATTGTAATTCAAACACACTCTTGCCTAAAATCTATTTGAAAATCATGTACATTTATTTTTTTTACTGCTTGATTGCTCAAAGACACAACACAATTTGTTTTTATTATCAGTAAATTAGGTATAGTAAATAATAAATAAAATGAATATGTAAAAATATAATAATAAATATTTATGTCATCGAATTTATATGCTATGCAAATATTGAGAACTTAAATTGCCTTTTCTTTGTAAGCGCTTTTAAAAACGCGCAAATTTAAAAGTGTTTATACTTAATGCTAAAAGTTGTTGGCCAATTAAATGGGAAATTATATTAAGTAACTGCAAGTGAAACGGAAACAGAAGCACACACACCTGCACACAAACACACACATACACACACACCATAGACACATACACACACACCATAGACACATAAACACCTTTAGATACTCGTAACTTTCCAAGAAATTTATTTCATTTTTCTCTCTTCTTGTTGCTTTATTGCTTCTTTGCTTTATTGTACTGTACAGCACACACACACACATACCTGCACATATACACATACATGCTTTCAACTTTTTGCGAACTTTGTTTTCAATTTGTGATTTTTACATTTTTTTTGTCTTAGCTTTTACGTTCTGCATATCTTGTTTATGTTATAAATAAATTTATATTTTTTCAGCAAATGCCACGGAAAACAAATTTTTCTTATTGGAAAATCACAAATGCATATATATATATATATATATAAATACGTGTGTGTGTGTTGTGTTCTGTGTGTGTGGCGTTACATGAAATGTTTGCAAACTTTTCTTTAAACAATTGCTGTCTCGCTCTCACAACAATAACAGTTATCACCAGCGAAATGGAAAAATAAAAAACAAAAACAATGAACACAAAAATCGTAACTACGACGCAATTTGATTTACTCACACTCTTTAGCCACACATTCTACATCTCTCCTCTCCTCACCGCTCCGCTCCGCTCCACTCCACTCTCCATTGGCAGATTTGCGTTATTTTCATTGTGCTTGCGGCTTGGCTTAAACGGGGGTTGCTTTCGACGACGAAAGGACGAAATAACAACAACGCAATATGCATATGTATTATGCATGTATTTACACACATACATACATATATATGTACATATATCCCGAATTTAATATGCGTTTTGTTTCCGCATTCCACGTACTGCGAATTTTGACAAACGCGGACACGAACTGGAGGACTGTGCTGCGCTGCGATCGGTTGAAGGTGCCGTTGCTCAATGTCGTCGTCGACGACTGGCCACAAGGAAAGTTTGTCGTCGTCGTCGCCGTCGACGTCTACATCGGCGTCGACTGAGCAAGAGCAGAGCTTCTATCTTCTAGTATTCGCTCTCGTTGGCGCGCTCACGCTGCTCACACACTCTCAGTGTTTAAGTTTCGTCAAGTTTTATTTTTTTTTGTTTTTTTGGTTTCTTCCTGTTCCTGTTGTTCTTCTTCGACACCACCGAGTGCTGTGCCCTACTGCCCCACACACCGATGTTGCCATCACACATAAAACACTGCTGCTGCTGCTATTGACGACGACGCTTCGTGGCCTTCAGCCGTAATTCCGCTCTGTTTTCTCTCGCTCGTTCGTCTCTGCTCTGTTCTCTCTCCCTTTCGCTCTCTGTCTGCCGTTGTCATTCTTTCATTCATACATTCTACTTGTCCCTTACCCGTTCGCTGGCAGTTCTATGACGTTCTTTGCTCATTTTGCCACAGTGCGAGTGCTTTTTTTTATCCGTGTGCGTGTGCGCTTTGCCTGTGTGTTTGTGTTCTGGCTGTGCTTTTTGCCCCTCGTTGCTAGAAAATACAATTTTTTTTTTTTTAGTTTTGGCTTTCCCATGCTGCGCAAATTTTATCTACGCCTGTTTGTCAGCGTTAGTTCTGTGTGAGCTTTACTTTTGCTTTTTTTTGGTGACCGCCAGCCTCATTTTTGTTATTTCTCTTTCTGTTTCTGTTGCGTTGCCCTTTCTGCATTGCATTGTGAAGTGAAAGCTTTTCCGATGACGGCAGCTTCTCGGAAATGTTGTTGCTTAAATTCTTGTGCTGCCTTTTAATCCGAACATGTATCCAAACATGAATGTTTGCAACAGTTGTATTTCCGAATTCAATTAACTGAACATAAATAAAATTCGCTCCACAATTTCCATTCAATACGCATTTAAGCTTTGCAATAACTATCAGGTTTCTCTTCTTCTATGTTATGCTCCTTCTAAGACAGCTAAAGCACTGACCAACACTGAGAGCTTAAGCAAACACACACACATACAAACATGCACACACACACACACGCATACATGCATGAGTGCAAGGAATACTGAGACCTACATGCAGCCCAGTGATGTGCTCGTGCTGTGCTTTCGCTGTAGAAGCGAAAAAAGCACGATAAATGCAAATTAGATGTCGTGATGAAATTATTATTCCAACTTGCAAAAGATTGATTAGCTGAGTTTGGTTTGTAGAACAAGAGGTAAATAAAATAATTATACTCCTCAGCTTCTTAGGATTTGGTAAATAAAATGAACAATCCATAAAATTAAATCGCGTAGCAAATCGATTTCAAATTGTATACATTGCAAGTTGCCACAAATATACAAGACTTAAGCTTACTTTTTGTCCAAGTTTTATTATTTTGTTAGAGATTAAATTTAGCTTAATAAGTCTTGGGATAATCTTATGGTCGCTTGTTGCACTCACAAAAACCACAACAGCCAAGGAAACCACATAAAAAAAATATATATATCATTTTATATACCATATATAAGTTTATTTTATTTATTTATATTATTTTTTTGTATCACATACCTAGTACATAATAACATCATCCATATGGCGTCAAGCGTTTCCTTTTCCAAGTTTTCCCCTGGGTTTTTCTTCCGTTTCTGGTGATGCAATGTTTTTCAATAATTCGATTTGATTTCATTTCATTTGCACAGAGAAATTTCTTTCTTCGCATGCATAATTACAATTTGGCATTTAGAAAAAGCCAAATTTTGACACGCAATTTTCCAAAGGTGCATACGAATTTACTTTATTTAACACATTAATTAATTTAGAATTTTTTTTAAAGAATTTCACAATTTTAGCTCACAGAATTGCACTTACTTAACACATATACATGTATATATATATTCATATACATGTATAGGTGAAGTACAATTGGAATACATTATTGTTGTTGTTGTTTGTTTTTGCGTATTTGTGGAGCACTACTCAAATGATTTTTTTTGTGTTACGTTTATTTTTGTTGTTGCACAATTAATTTGTATTTTTTTTTGTGTTATTATTGTTATTGGGACTCGATGGTGTCATTGTTGTCATTTGCGTGTTTAAATTTAATTACCATCGTATAAAAAATGCAATTAAGCTATTGTACTTTTAAGTTTTATTTGTTTTTATATTTATTTTTTGCTTTTTTTTAGTCCTAGTGAACACTGCTATTGGTGTTGAACTGTTTAGTGCTGTCTTTTTGCTTGGGAATGGAACGTTGTTAGCTGCTTGCCTGTCGCGCTTTCAATGCCAAGCACAGCGGAAAATGTCAGAGACACAGGCCATCGTCGTCGCCGTCGCCATCGTTATCGTCATCGTTGAATTCGTCGTCGTCATTTTCGTCGCTGCTGAGCCGAACGGCGATGAGGCGAATTTAGAGTGCAACTGTGGGGGAGCAAAGTAGCATGCATGTATGCATGTATGCGTCTGAGTGTGTGCATGTGTGTGTGTGTGTGTCGCTGAGTCAGTGCCAAATGGAAACCAGGCAAGCAGCGAAGCGACCCAAAGCTCAGCTCGGCACATTTCGGTTCAAGTTCAAGGATGTTATGCAATAAAGCGCATGCATGCAAGAGCGAAACAAGCTACAGAGTGGGACAGACAGACAGGCACAAACAGAGCGAGAGAGAGAGAGAGAGAGAGAGAGAGAGAGAGACAGTGCACACTTGCACGTATAATCGAAGTGCATGTGTGCATATATATAAAATGAAGCTGCTCCTCACACCAATGCCCAAGGGCGTCCCTGATCTCGCGCCCACTGCTCTCCCTCTCTCTCTCTCTCTCACTCTCGCTGACTGTCCCTCTCTCATGCGTTTAGCTTGTGCAGTCTACCCTGACCGCGCCTTAGTTACTGCCACTACACATACATATACACACATATGTACAGTCTATTTACTAAGTATATGTATCTTTACCTACAATATACTTGTCTGTGGATTTATGTTTTGTGCTCTGTGTTCCCTGTGCCTGGGCCTGTTCCTCCGATCTGGGCCTGGGCCTGAACCTGGGCTTACCGTGTTGCTGGGTTGCAAATTGTATATAATTAGCGTACTTACAGCGCTAACTGCAGCCGCAACAGAATGAGAAACATTTTATTACAAATGTTTTTTTTTTTATCAATACAGTGCTCGCTAGCAAACTGAACTTCTCCTTCTACTGGAATTACATTTTGTTAAATATCCATATTTATTGTTTAAATAATAAATTTAAATACTTAAAGTTTGTTTAACTGTTTCCAAAATTTTCTTCCACATTTTTTATTTTATTTTAATTTGTACTTTAAGTTAAGGTTTTTTAAACTTGAAATCCGAATCCCTTGTATTAATAAAATAAATAAAACCAAAGCGTTTCATAAGGCGAGCTGACACTGTATAAATGTATAAATGTATTTATGTAAATAGTGTGTAAATTCAGTTAGTTGTGTAGGTGTATGTGTGTGTGTGTGTGTGTGTGATTTCCAGTGATAAATGTGCGTGTGTTGCAATTTTTGCCAGCTGCTTTGCCCTTTGCCTCCTTTTAAATAACTTAATTGAATTTGTTTGGGGTCGTTAGCGTATATCTGTATATATGTATATTTATATATATGTCTGCGTTTGTTTGTGTTTTTTTTTGAGTGCCTTACGTTCGCTGGCATATTTGTTTAATTGTTTAATTTAATTAAATGCTACAACTGCAACGATTGCATCGACAAACTGAAACTGCATCTGTATCTGTATCTCTGTGTGTGTGTGTGTATCTATAGATGCCTGTACCACCAGTGTATGTGTTTGTGTGTGTGTGTGTAGCAGTGCCTGTGCCTGTGCCTGTGCCTTTGCTGCCATGTATGTGCAACAGATGATATTGAATGCCTTCGCTTTCATAAGTTCGCCAGCCATTTTCTTATGTCATGCGCACCGCAGTCGGACAAAGGGTATAACTACACAAACCTATGTATGTATTTATATACCTGCAAGCACACACACACATACATACATACATGCACGCTCGTGCATGTAGTCCATATATAGAGCTACTGCTTAACAGAGCAACAACAGCAGCAGATGTTCACTTGAACAGCCCAGTTGCAATTCTCATGCATCTTCTAAACACATCTAACGCTGCTTATGCAATTATATTTAGCTAAGTATTTAATCCGCCTCATATTTCAAATATACTCACATTTTCAATGGATTTAAAGAATAAAAATAGCAAATCTGACAAAATCACTTCACACCGCTCTGATATTTATATATTTGTACTTAAGCTTTGTGCTTTGTCAGTAGTATTACAGCGATATTCTTTTAAATACTGTAAATACAATAATCTTACAAATATACAACTTTTTTATAAGCCCAAAACTGCGTACTTCTCTTTTAATTCTTTCATTTTTCCCCCGCTAAATCATTTGTTTGTTCCAAGATTTTTTTTACTTAAACGTTCTATGAAAATATGTAAATTAGATGAAATGAAATTTTCTAGTTTCGCATTTCCTACAGGGTGTCAAACGCCTACTTTTTATACACTACGCGTTTCGTAAGCAGTAGTTTTTGATATTAATTACGAAAGTAAAAATCTTTTTGCGCTAAAACTCTTCGAAAAGAGAATGCTCAAAAATGTATAAACATATAAATAGAATTTGATTATTTTATTAAATGCCCAATTCCTGCTGGGTAACTGAAGCATTACGTATACGCCTCTACTGCAAATAGTACAGTAACAGCTGATTGCGTTGGTTACATTTGCGGCACATGTGACACGTGTGCGTTGCTGGCTTTGAGTCACTGTGACCCACAGTGAACCACTGGCAAGCTGTCAATTTCTGAGTTTCCAACAGGAACTCAGTGTTTATGTGGAAATTATGTTTACAGTCATGTAAAATGATGTATACGTAAGAGCGTATTATTCCGGGTAAGCACACAATTGTTCATCTAATAGGTATGCAAAAAATTAGCCAAAAATATTTGTTTACAAAACTAAATTGGCATAAATAATTTTGCATTTGTTTTTGTTCTGTTTGTTCGTATACAAACAAAGCTAAAAAAATCTTGGCTCAGCGAAGAAAAGGAGAGAGAGCATTTATACATACAGACACAACGGAATATATAAGTTGTATATCGAACAATTATAAGTTGTGTATTCGCTGAGAGCAATGGAATAGCAGCGAACGTGATGAAATACTAACGCAAAGGGTTTGAGGTTTTGAGGAGATCGAGGGGCTGCATACAGTTTGCGAGCACTGTGGCAAAGAGCTGCTGCAAATCCGCCCTTCTGCCTTCTGCTCTTTGTGGTGGCAGCGCATGTCAAGAGTAGGTGACCTTGACAGTGAACTTGAATAAAAAAAAAAACACAAAAAGAGAAAGAGAAATACAAAAAACACAGCTACAAGGACTGTGTGCAGGCACAGGCAGCATGTATTTTTTGAGGGAAATGAAATAACGGCGAAGGCGGCAGAGGCGAATTGAACGAAAAGTGCTGAAAGCAGCGCACCAAAAAGTCAGAGAGTGAGAGTGCGAGTCCGAGAGTACAAAAATACACAAACAGCACTGCAGCTGCAGCTGTGGGCGTTCAGTTGGGTTTGCTGTTTGCTGTCTGTTGTGCTTGTATTTGTGCCTTATATGACTATCAAACTTGCCGCTCTCTCTTGGATTTTTACTCTCTTCCACTCTATTGCTCTCTCTCGCTTTTGATGAATCATCGTGTTCTCTTATTGCGGCGAGAGTGACTTGTTGTCTGCAGTTGACATTTGAAATATGTGCCAGAAATTTCGCTTTCATGTTTGCTAGTGACGAGAGCAGGGGTGGGTGGGTGGTGTGCTGTTATTGGGGCTCGCATTTTATGCAACAGCAAACATATTGCATGTATACATGTATACATATTCATTTATGTATATGCGTGTGCGTGTGTGCGTGTGCATGATGCTCAGCTCTGGATAAGAAGACTACAATAAATATTCATTTCGATTTCAGTTGCAGTTGACAAAATTTTGGTGTGTTGATTTTACTTGCGTATCTCAACTCAACTTTGGCATTTCGTGCGTGCGTGTGTGTGTTGGTATGTGTATGTGTATGTGTGTGTGTATGCATAAAACAGTAACAGTTTATTTTTGCCTTTACCACCGCACACCACTGGCTTAATTACCTCGGGTACTGTAGTTGCCGTTACTTTTGCCCCTTGCGTCAGTGGCAATGTCAGCAAAGATGCAATTTGTGCTGTAAGTTTTGTAAGTTAGGCTTAGATTAAAGCTGGCTTGCTTTTAATTATTATTATTATTTTAATTTTTCGGCACGTTCAAATCTGTCGCAATACCAAAAATAGATTTAAAAAAATAGAGTTCTTAAAATAAAGTAATTTGAGAGTTCGAAACGAAAATAATCATTTTTGCTTTTAGTAAACACTTATATTCCCAGTGTAGCCGCTGGAAAGATACTAAGACGAACCAATATTCAGGCATATATACAGACAGACACACACACACACAAGTAAAAAGTAATAAAATGGCTTTAAATGCGCTCAATTTAATAACATATTAATCTGGTCTTAAAGCACCTTAGCGATTACGTGCCCGTAATGCATAAAAATAAAGATGCGAACGTAAGCAAAGCAGCGATAAAAATTGAATCCGTGCATATTTTTCAACATTCTGAAATAGAGTAAAAAAAGCGCACGAAAAAAGTACGCACACACACACACACACACAAATGAACATACATACGTAGAAGCACACAAATGCCGTTATTACAGCAGCACAGATCGCTAGGTAATGCAATTGGAAAGTTTTAAAGCTTTTAAGCTGAAAAATAAACGAAACTGCTAATGGAGAGCGCATAGCAAATAGAGATAGAGCGGGGGGGGGGGGGGGGGGGGGAGAGAGAGAGAGAGAGAGAGAGAGAGAGAGAAAGAAAGAGAGCTTATGTATATGCATTTATATATGTATATGCCTATGTACATATGTATGTATATAATAACACACCCATCGTTCAGTGGGCTTCTAGACTGGATTCGTTCTCAAACTTTTGACTAGTGAGACAAAAATCAAAATGGGGGAAAAACGTTGGATTTTCTCAAAAAAAAAAACGTTTACTTTGCTTCCCGTGCGCAGGCATATATTATGTGTGTGTGGGTGTGTGTGTGTGTGTGTGATAACCTTGAGACTGCTTTGAAATTTTAGTTGGACAAACCAACGGGCGCTTGTCGGGCGCTCTCTCTCGACCCAGAGAGAGAGCGAGAGAAAGAGAGTGTAAAATGCAAGCAAATCAAGCTGCAGCCCTGCATGTTGTGTGTGTGCATGTGTTTGAATGTTCTAGAAGCTTTTCGTTATGGCAAAAATATCTTGCGATGCCTAACGCTCTTTTTCTCGCTCGCACTCTGCTGCCCAGATGCTCTCTCACATACATTTTTTTTTTGCGCACAAATGCAACTCACGTTCAAGGCCAGTATCAAAATGCATTAGTATAAGAAGAACACACACACACACACAGGCGTATGTACATGTATTGGTGAGCTGCTGTCGTCAGTTGTCAACTGTATTTGCTTTGCCATAAAGACGCCCAGATGCAGGCACATACATGGATGAGCAAACTATTTCTTTCAGTAAATGCTTGTGCATGTGCACACACACACACACACACACTCACACAACCATTCTTAAATTATACTTATACAGATGCAGTTATAATCAATAACTTTCCGCTTCCTTGGCACTACTTGGAAATAATACGGTTTTATTTCTTTTTCTTTTCTTTTTTGATCTTTCACTATAATTTGTAGCACGTGCCAAACTGTTTGCTGTACAGTGAACGCCCGCTAATATGAAATAATCAACAATTGATTTGATTACAATTCAAATAGTAAGAAATTCATTTTGCTTTCTGCGCAAACATTTGAAATTCGTTCACCTTAGCGTATTCGAGTTGCATGCAGCGCTTATCTAATCATTTTTAAATGTTATCTAATCTAATCGCCCGCATAAATATATATGTAATGGAAACAAGTCTGAATTTGAATGCGTTTATAGCATTTCATTAACACGACATGAATTTCCCATACGGAGCTGCTCTCAAATGCAATCAGCCATGCAAATTACAGTCGCTGTCAAATATATATGTACACGAATGACAGTATGTGTGTGTGTGTATGTGTGTTAACTACTTATTATAATGATTAAATTGTCATTATTATTGTTATATATATTTCCTTTTATTACTATGCATTTTATTTTTTTCTTTTTTTTTTTTTTGCATTTATGGCGACCTATTCGTAATCGCCGAGAGATAAAAGCAATAACTACAAATTGAATCAGTCAAGTACGTAACGCAATACAGTGGCTCCTAATGGGGGTCGTTAAGGGGTGATTACGTTTTTCAAATCACATGGAATTTAATTTGAAATCTGCCAATTTTTGTCAAGTTTGAGTTCATATATCAGTTTTAAGCTAAATACCAATTTTATTTTTATTGCAACAATGATGAAACAAGAAAATATTAAGAGCCATCAGCCATGCGCCATATGGGAATGTAAGAAGAGTTGGGCAAACAAAATGCAGAAATGCAAACATCTGACGATGATGGGATGGAAATTCGCAGCCAGTTTGCTTTGGAGGACAAGGCCACCAGGCTGAAAGAGAACAGAGTTGGGAGCCGCCCAATATTGCATTAGGCACATACTCCTAGCTCTCACTCTCACTCTCATTCCCACTCTCTCACACACACTCTCCCTCTCCCTCTCTCTCTCTCTCTCTCGCTCTTTGTTGGCTATCTCGCTCTGTGCGGGGAGGCACACGTGGCTCAGCAAGGCCGCCCACGCTTTGGCATTTCACAGCGTTGAACGTTGTGTGGGCGTCGCCAGCTGTTGCAAGCTGCAGAAGTAGCAGAGCAGCGACGACCTGCAAGGACCTGCAGCTCTGGCTGGCAGGTCCTTCAATTAGTTTGGGGTCGGTCAGCGGTCAAATGGCTCTCCAGATATGTATTTATTTTGCCCATCGCCTATATGCAATTTGATAACCAATTCGACACTAATTGCATGCATGCATCTAACAAGTATCTATAGATACATAGATACATACATATTTATCTGTGTCAATCTCTAATTATGGGTTACGGAATATTACCAAAAGTGTTGCAGGGTTTCTTGATTTGCGCATAAGGATTTCACCTCCGATCTCAAGTATATGAAGTAAACATTTCTTAATAATTTTTTAAGCTATCTTGTTGAAACTGTGGGAATATGTATATATATATGTCACAGATATATATATATTGATGAAAAGATGGTTTCTTGTATAAGCGACTGCTTATATAGATAACATTTTAATAGAGTTTAGTCTTTAGTCTCTCAACTTGAGAAAGTTCAAGTTAGAATGGTTTTATCGTTCGTTCAGAATATATACGTATTCTTTTCATTTTCAATTAATATTAAATCAAGAATATATTTTTAGATTATTTTCTTCATTATTTCATTTTCATTTGAGATTGCAAATCTTAGTTTGAGATAGAAATCAATGAATCAAGATTATCAGATTGCCGTTTAGATTCCACTTTCGTATTTTTGTTGTCCCATATATTATATATGAATCTATATTAATTACAAACATATACCACAAGTATTGATTACTCTTCCAGGCTGTTGTCAAAAATGCAACGAATTGATTTGTATCCACTGAGTTGCGCTCTTCTCCCTCTCTCTCTCTCTCTCTCGCTCTGCAGCCCCTGCAGAGTCAAGGCAAAAGTGTGTATACATGTGTACATATACTATATATAAGCTGCATACATTGCGTATAGTATGCATATGTATATAGAATCATAGATACAGCCCGACACACGATTTCAATTGAAGCTCGTCGTCGCCTGTTGAATGCTTATGCAATCTAACGCCGATAGATGGCGCTGCGTGCGACGAAAAGCTGGCGCACACACTTAGTCAATACACCAACCATTTGTTTGGGGCGTTGCAGCTTTCGTTACGCATGGCTAAATTTTCCCATTCCTTGCGCTTTTTCAATGGACACACGCACCATGCGTAAGGACACAAAATTCGCAGCATGATTGAAAAATTGGCATGAGCACATAATTTATTCGGAAAGGACATTTCCTGTTTGTTTAGGCAAAACTGTCAGTGTCAGGAGCAGATAAATGGACAAATGCATAAATAGACAACTGAACTGGGCAAATTGATAATCAAAACGTGAACCGTCAACTCATGGAAATTGTGACAGCTTTGCTCGGGGAAAACTGACCACATGTCAATGCAAACTGACTTCAAAGCGTCGAAATGATGGCTAGCAACTACACAGAGAGAATTTTCAGACAATATTGTTAGATTAAATTGACAATAAAATTGACAAACTTAATCCAAGAATATAGAATTATGTGTTAAGTTTGATACGTCTGGTAATTGAAATTAAGAATATTTTTATTTATTTTTGTATTAATTTAACTTAAGTATTGCTTAGTAACTTGGCTTAAGCATTTCTTTTGGCTTGGTCTCTAATTTTCTCGTATGATTCTTTAGATTAAGTTCTTCTTATATCAGGAATGGTTTGCTGGAATTGTGAATATTTCGTGCGACTGTTTTCTCTATGTGTAGATGGGAGTGACAGAGAGAGAGAGAGAGAGAGTGATAGAGAGGGAGAAGGGGCCGTGGGGCGTGACAGCAGGTTAACAACTGGTAATTGCTACAACAATTTCGCATAACTACAAATGAAACAAAACTTGGCTCGATGCATTTAATTGAAAATTCATATGTGAATAGTTGGGCAGTGGTTTGTCGTCATATTCAAATGACAATTCGAATGTTTGTGGTTGGTTGTGTTGTGGGGTTTTGAGTTTAACAGTGGCAGTGAGTGTTTCTGGCCACGCCCACTCAATTAAACAGTTGCGACCTCTCATAAATTATCGCACAGAATGTGTGCAATATTTAATTGCTAAAACAGAGATGTCGCTGACCCTCACTTGCCAACTGATACAACTGATACAACTGCAATTAAAACCATTTCAATGTTGTTTACTTAACGCACACTGAGCCAAATTGCGACGAGATCACTTCAAATATAACCTAGCAAATTGCTGATTCACAAATCTGTGCAACTTTCCAAGCCTGACATATATTTCTTAACAGCATCAATAATCGGTGCATCTGTCTACTTTACTCTGTGTACTCTGTCAGTTTGTAGCATCAGATTAATATATCTTACAGATCTTATTACAAATCTAGCTCTTTTTCTATTTGTATATTTTTATATAGCATCAACTAACAAGCTGATTTCGATGATGATGCATGAATACAGCAACGTTCTGAGTTCTCGGCGAACCAATTCACAACAGGTTATCGATAAATTTAAACGCTTCGTGAGTATCGATACAAATCGATAAATCAAAGATATTAAAGACATATCTTATAGATATATATATGTACTGATTGGAAATATCTTTGTTTTATGGTATTTCATAGCCGAGCTCTGTTGTCGTTCCCATTTCCAGCTAAAGAAAATATCATTGCATCAACAAGCAATTTCTGTTAGTGTATGGCGTATTTGTTTATATGACAATTAATGCGTGAATAATTCATGGCACTTCTAATTACAACACTTAATGCAATCGCACTAAAACACAATTGTGGCAATAACAACTTCAAACAGTTTCGACACAAGTGCTATCTGTGGCAGATAGATAAAGATAAAGTACCCAAATGGGGATAGTTGCTATTAGTTCAGAGTCCCTGATTCATTCAATCATGGCCCAGTCACAGTGGATAAAACGCTTTTGTTTTCAGCTGCGTTTAAAATCCAGCCAATTATTTATAATTGCTGCTTCGGTCCTGTTATCCCTGCTGATAACGCTAATTTGTGTTGGACTCACGATTCGCTACGAGGTCAGCAATGAGGTGGCCAATCTGGGCGATGTCGACTATTGGAAGGATGCAGTTTCAGCGCAGCAGAAACTCTGGTACGACAAGGGCATTGAGGAGCTGAAGGATGCAATGGCGATGCGTACATCAGAAAGCCAGCCTAGAAATATTCAGATCTTGGTCATCAATGGCATCGATGCTCCAGCTTTGGCCAACGCACGCTTCTCCAGCTCACAACCCTCGAACTTTGTCTGGGATCGGTTTCCGCATGTGGCAAGGATCAAGAACAGCTGCAGCCACAGCTCGCCCTGCAATGCGGCAAACGTTATTAAGGTCGGAATTATTATATAAAAATATTAATAAAATCAATTAAACATTTATATATTGACAACTACTCGATTTTCAGGCCATCTGGACAGGTGTGCCGCTTAAGGCAGCACCCAAGCTGGACAGCAGTTGTGGCCACAATGCGTCCCATGCTGGACAGCTGCTGAGTGTGCTGCGTCTGGCACAGCTGGCGGGCAGGCGGACAGGGTTTGTGACAAACCAAAGGATAACTGGCGCCACAGCAGCTGCACTGTATGCGAATGTGGCACAGACCAGCTGGGAATGCGATGGACTCGTGCCAGTGGATGCCATTGAGTCGGGCTGCGAAGATGTCGCCCAGCAATTGATCTCTGGCGAGACTGGACAAAATCTCAATGTGCTCATCGGCGGTGGCAGGCAGCTGCTGAGTGCCAATGTGTCCACATTTCCTTATGATCCCCTGGATGAGCTGCTGTGCCGTGCCAGAAGTGGACGCAATTTACTGCGCGATTGGCTGCAACACAAATTGAAACTTAAGCCGAGCAAGCATTTTGAGCTAGTGCAGCGGGAAGAGCAGCTCAGCACGGTAAATGGCAACAGCTTGGATTACTTGCTGGGCGTTCTAGCCAATGGAGATCTGAGTAGGAATTCCCAGGCGCCATCACTGGCCATAATGGTCGATAAGACGCTGCAGGTGCTCCGACGACCAGTTGTGGGTCATCTGCTGATTGTGGAGCACTACGTGCAGCAGCAGGGGGAAGCCAGAGTGAAAGAGCTGCAGTTGCTCAATGCAACCCTGGCCAATCTGCTCGGGCCGAAGGATACATTGACCTTGGTGCTCTTAACCAATGCCAACAATCTCAGCTCAGCTGAAACGCAGATTGTAAGCACTTTGCAGGAGGCTTTCGATGAGCAAGGATCCCATTTGCAGCGCCGAATGCAACAGATGCCCTCGGAGAGTCTGCTATTTGCGACGGGTGAGTGGAAGTCGCCAAATATCTAATTGAACTATATTAAATGATTTTTCTACATGCAGGACCCAAATCCTCACTGTTCTACAGTGTACACGAGGAAACCTACTTGGCACATGCTCTTTCCTATGCCCTGGGAATGGATGTATTTGGAAGACAACTGCAACTTTAAGCAGCAGTTTTTCTATTTTATTGTTTTAAGATAAGAAATCTAGGGGAATAGATCATTTCTCACTTCTCATCTACTTCTACACAATCTGATTACAATATTCAACTGATAAAACTCGATTGCATTGAGAAACTAGATAAGTTTCTGATGGAATTTCTTAGCTCTGATTTTGAACACCTACTATAAAAAAAGTGTGTAGAAATTGATATTAATTAACTGCAAATGTATAATGTATAATACTATATTTATCGATGACAATCTGTTTATGTCTCTTAAATCTGAAGTCTTTGATGAACGATGAGTTCTAAAAATGTTTTTCATTTGAAACTATGATTTTGTTTTATTTTTACGAAGTGCTGTGTGAATTTCTAGTAAAATATGAGGTTTTATTATTCTGCTAAGCACTGCTAACTTATTTCATAGAATAATGTCAGTCTAGTCGAAGATTGGAGTCAACCTGAGTCAACCTTCAGTATAAATTAGCAAAAGAAAAATGCCATCGATTTTGCTTATGAAAGCTATTTGATATTGCAGCCTGATGTTGTCGAAGAAGAATTATTAAAGAACTAATGAGTTTGATTCGATGAGTTTTGGACCGATTGTTGAGATATATATGATTGTCTCGCTGATTATCTTAAGTTCTGTTTGCATATCGAAGCAAAAAAAAGAAGAAGCCTGAAGAACAGTTTGCCTAAGAACAGATATATATATATATATATATATATATATTATATAGACTTCGCTGCTGATGTCGATCAGGAAAATAATAAATTTATATTGAATATGCTGCATTTTTAAGGCATATTAACTAAACATACCCAGCCTTTCCCCATCGATTGAGTGAAAGAAATCGTTGATCATATTTTAATGATTATGTTAAACTTGAACTAGTACAATTTTTTATTGATTACTATTAATGTGAATTGCAATTAGACAACAACACTGCCCCCGCTGCTCGTCGCCGCACACTGCGTTGTGGTTGCCACAGTTGAGACCGGCAGCATCCAATTGAAGCTTGGAGCTGTGTCCTGTTGCCCGGTCACCGTCGAGGATGCTGCTGAGGCTGCAGAGGCTGTTGAGGATGTGGCTGTGGCTGTGGCTGTCGCTGTGGATGCAATACGCGGCACTGGACGCAGCACATTCGAAGTGGGTCATTTGACCGGCATCGGTGGCAACATATTGTGTGCCACATTCGATAGCTGCCGCAAATGGTTCGCATGCACATATTGAAAGGCCGAGGAACGTTCCAGTTGCTGTGATAGATAAAGTTCGCCCAGGGAGTAAAAGCGACGCTGATCGAAATGCTGAAAGGGGAAGCCTGCGAAGCGCTGAGGTGCCACATAATTTTTGGCCACTGCCGTTGGATACAGGGTGCAATGAGGTGGTGGGCGTGGCAGCACATAGGCTCCTCCTGTTGCAGCTGGCTGTGGTGCCACCTGCGATTGTTGCTGCTGCTGCTGCTGATGATGTTGCTGCTGCTGATGATGTTGCTGTTGTTGGTGTTGGTGTTGTTGATGTTGCTGCTGTTGTGGATTGAAAAAGTCCATATTCTTGAGATTCTCCAGCATTTGATGGGAGGCCTGATGTTTCTTAAGGTATGCGTAGCTGTAAAAGAATTCCAAGAAGGTTTTGCCTTTGATGCTGCTTGGTTTTATCGAGTGTAAAATCGACTTTCTTCAAATGAAAGTCTTTTTTGTATTTATTTCTATTTCTATGATTATGCCTACCGTCGGAAGGATTTGCCGCATTGCTGACAGGCATAAATGCCATCGTTGGCATCTTCGCCAGCTGCTTTGCTGTTGATCTCTCTGTCGGTGTTGGCGCCGTCGCTGGTTTCACTGGAGCTGCTCGGCCGCTTCTTGCTGGACTGCATCTCCGACTTGGGTTTGTGCCAGCGTCGGTGCGAGGCCAGATTTGCCGGACAGTTGAAGACCTGCAAAATAGAAATGCGCTCAGATACAACTACTGCTCAGAACTCAGTCTAGATCTTGAAATGTGCACAACTGAATCAAATGTTTTGCATTTAACTGAGCTAAACTGATGTATGGAATATAGTTTTCTAAATAAACACGAAAAGCAGTTGGATCTATTTTAAAAACATTTTAAGCAGTACATTTAGTAGATTTAAAGGAATTTCAATCGGTGAATTTTAAAACTAGGTTTATATTTGTTCTGAGGAATGAGCTCATAGATTATGGGGTATAATAGTTTATCAGTCAATTTATTTCAATTTTGAATTGAGTAAATGTTGTAAATGTAGATTCCTTGCACGCTTTAACTTTTTTGAAGGAATCTTTAATAATTCGGAATTCGTCTCGGGCTATCTAAGATAATAATGATGATATTAAATGTAGAAGTTGGCGTTACCTTTTCGCACTCGGAGCACTTGTATTCGATGTGAACGATGCGTGGACAACGGTGCTGGGCGAGCATGAAGGCATCGTCGTAGACGGTGCGACACAGCTGACAGAGATAGGCGCCAATCTTATTGTCGATGCTGGCCAATATGGCCTTGGCCTCCTCGGTGATTTCGACCACGTTGAAAGCCGGATCAATGTCACCTTTGCGCACCACCAACTCCTCATCGTCGCGCAGTTTGCGGATAATGGTGCCGGAGACGGGACTAATTGTCTCCTCATCGATGGCCGCGTGTTTCCGCAACTTGGTCCGTCTCCTTTCCGTCTTCGGTTTCCGCTGGAGCGGAGGTGAGTGTTCGCGGTGTGCCTCAGGAGATGCTTGGATATTGGTTGGGCAGCTGCTGCTTAAGTCCGTATAAACCTTCTCCGTGTGAGCTTGTTCGTCGGCGGCTGCTTGTGCCTCCGCCTCAAGTTCGAGTGCCTCCTTCGACGACTGGCCAAAGTCACGTTCGAAGAGCTTTGCAAGACCATCGATTGCCTGATGATGCAGCTCCTCATCGTCATAGATCAACTCGTTGCGCTTGAGTGCTTTAACATCCAGCAGCAGTTGTGGCTGCTGCAGCTGCTGCTCATCATCATCGTTGCCAAGGATATCGACAAAGACCTCTTCCTCATCATCATCCTGATGCCGCTGAGGCTCATCAGGATGGTCTGCTGATTGCTCTTCATCATCATCGTTGACTTGTATTGCGCTGTCGTCCTCGTTGTCTGTGTCCGTCGCATACTCATTGTAGTCATGGGAACTGACAACTGTTTCATCCTCGTCCTCGGTCAACACAATTGTCTCATCCTCCACGTGTATGCCGCTCGATTGACTTGCCGGAATTTGTGGCAAGTTGCTTTTTACGCTGTGAAAATGACTTTTATCATAGCTGCCAGCTGCCCCACCATCAAAGCCACGTAAGCCGTAACAGTTGCCCCCCAGTTGAGCCTGTTGATGTGCCTGATGTTGTTGATGAGGAAAATAGTTTGCGACAGCGACTCCCGGTGGTGGTTGCATCACCAGTGTTGGCAGCGGTATATGCGGCCTCCACAGATAATTCTCCTCGGACATTAATCTTTGACGCTTCCGTGGCGGCGACGGCGTCGATGGTGGCGTTATTGGCACCACAATATTCGCTGCCGCCCGCAAGGACAGATCCAGTGGCGAAAGCAGCGAAATTGCCGAACGTTGCTGGCTAAATTGCGCAAATGTCTCGTTGATTGCTGGTAATGGGCGGCACTCGGCGTAATGCATTTGGGGGTGTGGCTGAAGGGCGGCCTGACTCAGTTGGTTCATGTGGTTCATGTTCAACATATTTACGCTCGCAAAATATCCTTATCTTTGGTGATCTCCGTACGATTCTTTATATATATATATATATATATATATATATATCTTTCTTGCACTTATTCAAAGGATCTTTTTTACTGCAAGTTTAGGCAAAATACAAATTTGAATTAGTCTCCGATTGTGAAATTAATTATTAATTATTGTTCTGAATCAATGCAAGAATTGAATAATCTATTTAGAAACATTTTTGTGAGTTTAATTAAGTCTGCAAGATTTTTAAATATTTCAAAGACATATTTGCATCTCAATCTTAAAATTGCTGCCTATAACTGAAAACAGTAAACTTTGGTAAATCTTTCAAATCTGTATTCTGATACAGTTTCGATCAACATCCGCCAATATCTAATTCTTCTATAATAAAATATTTAAACTATTTATATTGGTTAGACAATATAAATAAATAATATAAGAAACCAAGAACAATTCTTTCATTGTTGTGAAGAAAGTTATGCAACAAGGTTTTTCCAAAATTGGAAGTGTTTCAAATATAATTGAAGAATACGCGAAATAATTTTGGACTTTTGGGATACTCCATTTGGACACATTTTTGAAAATGTATATCGCAATCGATTTTTATAACAACAAACACCATTTTTAAAACAATTGCTTGCAAAAAATTTGTTTAAAAATTGAATTTTCTTTATTTTTTTTTTTTGTAATTCAAATACAGATATTTTTTTTGTTTTTATCTTTACAAAACTTTGCGAATATTTTTCCGTTCGAAACACTCAGAAACTAAATAAACAGAATCACATTTTATTAGTTAGTGTAAAATTATTTAAGTGTATTATTAAATATGAAATCAGTTTATGGATTAATATTAAATTACGGATTATTATTATGGATGAATTTTAAACTCTTAGTTCAGCACTGATTCGCAAGGTTGTATTTAAATTATTTAATTTAAAAATTGTATTCTATTTTCTTTTTGGTTGTTATCACATTTAATTAATGGTATTTAAATTCAATTACTTTGCCTGTAAGAAATGTTTTCACCTGAGAAACGCGCACCTGGATTTTCACATTTACCGTTGCACGCAACTTTCACGTTAACCGCGCCAAACTGAACTGAACTGAAGTTCGGCCAGCGAGGACTTGGGACCCAGATAGTTTGGGTCACCTGTCGCAATGCAATGCCAGCATTAAATTGGGTTTGAATGCGAAGCCAATGAAAGCCAGGCAATGCGAGCCACCCGAACCCACCCAAACCACCACTGACTGACAGAGACTGAGCCTGAGACTGAGACTGATGGTGCATGCAGCATGTAGCATGAAGGATTTGAGAGAGAGAGAGAGAGAGTGCCAGCCACCCTCAACTCAGCCCAGCCAGAGGAGGCATCAGACATTGGCATGTGGCATCAACAGACGACTACGAGGCACTCTCTCTCGCACACTGTGCTGTGGAATCCTCGCAAGCCAGCTTGGGATTCGCTCGCCACCGAATAGCGGGACACTGTGTTAACACCGAAAACCGCCCACTCCCCTGATAACGGGGCGCATGCGCTGCCACGCCCTACAGCTATGCAAAAAGCTTGAAAGAAATGCGGGTTTTTTGGCCTTTGTCGGTCGCCAGAGGGCGCCAGCAGCGGCTGGCAACTGTTGCGCCGCTAACGCTGATTGGATGAAATATTGTGTGCGGCAAATGCCACGCCCTCTTTACAGCAAAAGCATTTTCGTCACACACACACACACACACACACACACACTCCCACAGCATGAATGGAATGTCATTGAATTGCAAATGAAGAATTTTAATGCAATGCATTGGAGTTTTCAGCCGCTTCCGCACAGAGACGCCCCAAAAAAAAAACACACACACACAGAAAAAACAAAAATAGAAAAGGGGAGCAGCAACAGGATGTGCCTTTTGTTGTCCTGTCGACTGTTGTCGACTGCTCTTCTTTTGTATTTGCCTTCATCTGCTGCTGGCTGCCAACATTGTGTAGACATTTTAAGAACCAAAAGGATTCTTTTTTTGTTGTTGTTGTTGTGGTTTTTTATTTTTCATACAATTTTAATGCCTGTTTCCTGCGCATGCTGGCAATGCAATTTTCAAAATGGCGCTTTAGCCAAGTGTCCTTTAAATTCGTGTGTCCTTCAAATTTGGCTTTCCCAAAAACTTAATTAATTACGCGACGCGTGCTGAGCAACGACGACTGCAGCAGCAGCAGCAGCAGCAGCAGCAGCAGCAGCAGCATCAACATCAGTTCGAGACAAGGACGCCTAATCAACAGGAATGTAATTATGAACTTTTTGTGCCAGCTCATAACCAAATTAAGAGGTCACTTACTATGGAAGAAAGAAACGAGATGAATCGGTAAAGTGTAGGTATAGTGACACGCACATACCCTGTACAAATGTCTTTTAAATAATGAACTCAATATTTTCTATATACTCCTCAATAGCACAGTTTGTCCTGAGTTTGGCTGACTGCACACCGAATTTTCACAGTTCCAAAGAAAGAATTATGAAATTCGTGATTATTTTAGAAATTTCAGAAAATGCTCCACACATTCAGAAGATGGTTCCGATTGGACATCCTGCTTACAGCGCAAAAATATATAAATTAAATTAAATAAATAAATTTGTACATAAAAGATGCTGTGTGCATAGATCTGAGATCGTCCAACGTCTTGAAGATAATTATTCTCTATATATTAATTCAAATTGATGACACCCGATTCTCCATACCATAAAAAACAGGATACAGGAAGCAGCCAGTAAGTTGATCATTAAGCTTGTAGCTCTTTTTAAAACATTTTTTACTCGACAATCTCAGTTTACTTTTTTACAATTTCCTCCTTTTTTTTTTGTTTTCCTTTTGGACCAGGTCAACAACAACAAGTTTCGGTTAGTGGTTACCTTTAGCACCGGCTAATTGTCGGTTCATCAAGGATGGGGAAAAGCGGTGAAAATGCGATGGGAAGCGTCTCATTAAAATAGCTGCGGCTTTTCTGAGATGTTATTGGTGCCTGTTGCTGACACTTGGGATGCACTGTAATTAGTCTTGGCAAAACATTTTTCACTCGTTTGCATGCCAGCAGCGTCGATGATGAGTTTTCGAAGGCTAATTGAGGCACAGGTTGCCGTTTGCACTGCGTCTGCCTCAAGTCTCAAATTACACGCGTAGCTAGCACAAACCACACATTACAGCAACATTCCCTTCCAACCCCACCCAATCTCTCAAACCTAAGCAACATGTTGTATGACACCCTTACCCTAAGGGTTGATTGCTTAACTTGCGGTTTTGGTTTTTTTTTTTTTTTTTTTTTTTGGCAACATACTCGTATCTATTTACACAGAGGGGTTTGCGTAATGGGCTCTTAATTAGGCTCATATATGAATTTTGGAAAATTCTCTTTACGCAATGTTTATTTGCCGCATCTGATCAGAGATGCAACGATTAGCTAAGCATGCGAAAAAGCGGACAGTGAGGCAAGTGCATATGCTAAAATCTAGATAAGCTTTCGATATTCGCTTCATTGGATTGCGAATTGGATTCGATTAGATTGGATTGGATTGGATGGATTGGAGTAGCTGAAGCATCTAAAATGACGATTTCACATTGATTTTCTGTACTCAGTTCATCGAGCTAAGCGCAAAGTAATCGAATCAAATTTGATTTCATAAGATAATTTTATTTTCTAGCGATTGTTCAGTTTCTCAGTTTGCAGTAAAATAAAGTGACAGTTTTATGATCAGGTTTTATAAAGCATTTTGATTACAATTATTGAGGCGGATTCATGTTCTGCAACTTGTTGAATCTAAAACCTTCTGAACCTTCATCAGACGTAATTGCTGCGAATGTGGTGATCTTTATGGGGGAGTAGAATTTGTTAAATAAAAATCTACTATTCTCGAGAGCAGGTTAGCCTGATAGGTGGTTCGATCTTGAAGTTTTCAGCATACTTAGATACTTTTTATGGCAATAATATGAAATCAATTTGCATCAGCATACAGTCTGATAAAGAATCCAAGTTCTTTCTTTTAATCATGATTAAAATTCGATGGCAAGCCAGATTGTAATGCCAATTAAAATATCAAATTTGGTCATTTTTTTGTGTGTTTAAAAGCAATAGAAAAATATGTGCAAGTACTGAGTATTTTTTGAATTAAAAATACAATTTCCAGGTTATACAATTTACATATTTAAAGTTGTTAAAATTAAAATTTCGAGTTGATGGAAAGGGTATTTCAACTAATGCCTTTGAGAGAAACTTCAGTTAAAAGCTAACAAGCGCTGACTATGACTTAGGTAAACTTACTTTCACTTCGTTCAAATTTGTTCCTTATCAGTCTTGAACATCTCCATAACAATTTCTTTGCCTCACCTGGTTTTCTTGTGTAATATAGTCGTCGAATGTTCTTCCGGACATTATAAACTTCCTGTAGGCCACACAGAGTACAAAACGATATTGTCACAAGTCATGTCGATGGCATTCAGCCAACGTTTGATGACCTTTAATGCAAGTTTGTAGGCCCCAGCGAAGGCCCACAAATATGCGAGGCCATAGTTCATTTATTTTTCTTTGTCGTGGGGATGGTTGTTTTGATTATTTTTTTTTAAATATTTTTTTTTTTTCAGGGGCTAGCTTTAATTAGAGTTGCATGGAAGTATGCCTGGGGCAGTCGGCAATTCTTATGCAAATGCGTTTAATTACAAAACTGTGAAACAGAATTACGCAACATTGCGTTCTTTTCGTGAATTACTTTCAGCGTCCTCGGCAAAGTTCGTGTGTTTAATTGCCCAACTCAACGCCTTTTATAATTACCAGTGTACCAGGTGGAACAAAAGGAAAATTTGCCAAGTGACGCCAGCCAGGCAGTTCTCAGTCTCAACTTGGCTAACAACTTCCATTCGAATTTCATTTTTATGCTGCACAAAATTGAATTTGGTGCCGACTTTGTCGCAAGCAAAATCGATTTTGATTGATTCAATTTGTGTGTGTTGCGTGTGTGATAGCATGTTACTCACACATACTATTCGAGAGTGTTCGGGACTATTGCTCAGCAAATACCCTACACTTCGTTTACAGCATAGGTCGAATCTAGGAATGCGTTCAATTACCGATTTTTACTTATGATATTTTCAAACCATTAAAATTAAGTATTTGACTATTTAAAATATCACAGCCTTTTCTAACATCAGGGAATTGAGGTTCAATATTTAAAAAGTAAAATTTTTTAAATATAAATATAAAAAAAAATAAATATTTCTTAATATATATATATATATAATATATATATAATATATATATAATTATAGACTTTATTGCACATTTAATTTAATTTAAATTTTCCTTACTTTTTGTATTTTTTGTGTCCATTGACTTTAGTTAACATTAAATAAATAAATAAATAAAATATAGTAAATGCTTCAAGTCTCAAAATTAGTTTTGCTTCTTTGCTTTTTATGGGATCTACAAAAGTTTTTGAGCGCCCTTCCAAATCTGTCAATCGACTAGTTTCACTGCACACTCTTCAAAATTTGGGCCAGAGAAATTGAAGAGAGAAAAAAATGCGCCCTCATCGAGACTAATAGAAAAATGTTTATAGATAAAAAGGCGACAAATTGAATTTGCAAAGGTCATAAGGTCACATAAGTGTGACACTTGATAGCAGGCATTTCCACTTGACGAAGGACCCAAAATGCTTGGACTAGAACTTGTTGGAATGTGCTTCATTCAGTCTTGAGTTTTCCATTTGAATTTCCATTTGCTGTTTATATTCACATTATTTTTTGGCAAATTGAATTTGCAAAATGATTTTATTGTGCGTTATAAAAGCCATCAAATCAGGGTGCGACCTTCGTTGCCACCCCTTTTCTTTGGATATACATATGTATATAAAAAGGCCAAGGTAAACCGCATTAGGGATTTTAATTAACTGGTAAAATGGTTAGATGTCCATTAAAATATCGTATTACATAATACTACAAAAGATATTTTTTTTTATTTTGGTAACATGCTGCCAAAGTAAATGGGTTGGAAAGCATTAAGTGGCTTATAAAATGGGTCAGTGAACGATGTTGATATGCTATAAATAACATCATTTATAGAAAAAAGCTATTTGTTTCAATCGAAATAAAATGACTAATAATGTTTCTAAGGCCTTTAGTCTGCGGCCGATTTGCAGTTTTCATTTAAATACCACAAACAAAAGTTACTTAAAACTCGTAAAGTAATTTTTATATAAGACTGTTGAGCGAGTATTAAAACCAAAAACTCAATTCATGCGGGAAATCATTAAAGCAAACTATATTAAATAGTTTCCGTGGAGTGAGCAGAAATGTTCGCAATCTATTTGGCTTCGTCCCCCTTGATTGAGCATTGAACATATTGTTTTTCTATTAATTATATCACAAATTACATAAGAAAATTGCAGGAACAATGCGCACATATGGCTTCGACTAACTACTTATCTCTCTATGCGGCGGAAAACCGCAAAATGTCCCGCGGGAAATGCAAGAAGCAATGGAAAAAGCTGGGAAAACACGCGATAGTCGCAGATAATCACAATAATCGGACGCTGCACTCGGCTGCTTTAAGCGATTTTCAATATGTTTGCCGCGTTGTGTCAAGGGAAAACGTGTTCCACCTATGACGCACAATGTGGAAAATTCAGCAGAACAAAATACAAAAAAATAAAATAAAAATAAAGTAACAGAAATTGAAGGTGGCAGGCAGCAATCCGCTTATAGAGCGGGCCAGCTTTAAGCGATATATGGAGGTGGTGGGTGGTGGGTGGTGGGTGGTGGTCGACGGGTGACCTCGAGCAGCCCTTGCACAGCAGTGTCCTTGCTGTAATTACGTATCCTTTGTTCAATGCTGCACATGTGTCTCTGCTCACATGCATATGTCGAGAACACGTAAAATTTGTCTTCTTTTTTCCACAGATAAGTATTTAAAATTATTATTACGATATAATTAATATCTGTTTAGTTATTTAACTCGATAATTAACATTTTATTTATAATAAAAGACTTGCAATAATAAATGTGTTCCTTCAAGTTATTTGCGAAATCACCTGCATGGCAAACACCTTGGGTATCTCACCAGTGGCCTCCACAATCTCAACGAAGAACTTGTAGGTGCCTCTGCTGAGAACGTGTGGATCGATCACTTTGCCTGTTTCCAATCTCATGATAGAGTAATTTCCAATTTTTACGGGGCATAGAAGAATCTCACTACGGAAGAAATTCTGCAGCAAAGGGTCCATTAGAAATTTACAAAAATTTACGCCTTTCATATCGATTATCTTCTGAAAATCCGTCGCGCCCTCGGACTTAAGACGCAGATTAAAATTCATTATCAGATAGTTACTGCCGAGCCTTCGAAGGAGCGACACATAGATGTCAAAGTGTGTCCGATCCTCATCAATGTGAGTGTAAACCTTCATAAAGTGTCGCTCGCCAAAAACTTTAATGCGCACAATTCGGACCGTTTTCTGTAATATAATGTCATTAAAATATTATGTGACTAAGTGTTTATCTTTACTTTCGCATCCTCAATGCTCGTTGTCCAATCCTCAGAGTTCAGAAATTGAAATAGCGCACAGAACCACAAAATCACCAAAAGCTGTTTCATTTTAAAATGATTTCATTGTCGCAAAAAACGAGCAGAACATTGGGGAAATCAAATTTAATTTAACATGTGTCATTAAAACTTAAATCAACCAGACTGTCAAAAATGTAGCTAATAATTAAATATATCTTGATTAAAGTAAACAATTTATTATATACTTGTTATTTTTGTTTGAAGTTTAGATCGTGAAAAGCCTATTGCTGATAATTGAGTTATAAGCATGAAGATTATATACTTTTATGTTGCGCATTTTGTGCTATTTTCTCAATAACTTAAATCATTTTTGCAACAATATTAAGTCAATTAGGTTCTTGTTAGACGTTCATTATGGTCCTTCATTTTGTAGACTATGTTTTATTTTCGAGCTTATAGCCAATTTGTAAACTACTATAATATGTCACCACCTAGTCGACGACTCAATTAGCTAACCGGCGGATATATGCGCAATCAGGGCTCTTTTATTAGACGAAACATGAAACAAACGAGTGGGTGACATAAGCAAGTACACAGAGAGAAAAATGAGTTTGAGTAAGCTCGAATCAACTTGAACATTTTATTTCAAGAGCCCACAATCCTTATATCCTTAAATATATATTAATGAATCTAACTGAAATAAGTCGCGCTAGGTTGCAAAATACATTCGAACGATCAAATTGCGAAATTTCATTCTATATTCAAATTAAAAGCGGTAGAAGTGTTATTCAAGCTCGTTTATTTTTGACTTCTTAAAAACAGTCTGCAGTCTTCTTAGTTTATCTATTTATCTACTGTCGCAATTCAAGAATGATTTGGGCACTTAAATAAATAGGAAGATTGTAAGAAGAAGTAAAAAGAGAGCCAACTTTATTATTATTTAAATTTATTAAGATGTGATTTATAAGCCGGCTTCTTTTTTCTCGGTGTGTATGTATATAGCATATAGAAATCCATATAGTATATAGTATGAAGCTGCCAGTCAGTCAGGAAGCAGCAAAGTGTTGAAAAGCCAATTAGCGTTTGCTTTTGCCAAATGACAGGAAGGAAGCCATAACCACAGCCACCAGAGAAGCAGAGAAGCCGAGAAGCAGAGAGCCACCAGCAACTGCAGCGTGGGTGGATTTCTATATGCGTGTAAATGGTATGAAAAGTTGAAAATTTATGAAAAACCGCACGCAGCGTCAACACCTCCAATAAGTCTGAGGGAGAGTGGGACTGAGGATGAGAATCAGAGTGTCAATCAGTCAATCAGTCAACCAGTCAACCAGTCAACCAGTCCACCAGTCCACCTGTCAGTCAGTCATTCTGTCAGTCCACCAATCAATTGGCTCCAGCAGTTGTGTGGCAGGTGTTGCGTAATTTTCTGCGTCATTTAATTAAGCCGATTGGGTTTGGTGGGTGGGTGGCCTGGGTGGCATGGGTGGCTTTTGGGCTTATGCGGCTTAGTCAACGCTTTTCATATGTTTGTGTGTTTCGCTCTCTATGGTAATTAAGTCACATGTTCATGTCCATTATTCATAATGTTTTGCCTTAATTATTTATTCATAATGTCTAATAGTGTTTTGGTGCAGCTTAGAGGTTAGCAGCTTAGTTGCTATTAATTGACACATTGATACAATGTACGATAAACAAGAAATATTGCTACACTTAACCCAATCAATGTTCATGGCTTTGCGTATACGAGTATCGGTCAAGAAACAGGCAATCAACTGGTCATCATTATCGGCATCATGCAGAGTCACCTGGAGACGTGTGGGTACCTCCGGTTGATTGCTGGCGATCGGCAGCATTAGACGATAGGTGACATCCTCGCCAGCATCGAGTGGACAGTAGGCACCATGGAGTAGATTCATGCAAACATTGCTACGTTCCGAATCCAATTCATAGGGTATTGTCACGCCCAAAGAGGTGAAATTCACTTTAGCAGTCAGTCTACGCATCGAATTGCGTGCTAAATAAATTGTACAAATTAGTTATCAAATATACTCGTATGCGAAGAGCAGTTATCATTCAGACTTACTGGCCACAAACCATATGGCAATGTTGGCATCCACACCCTTCCATAAATCACAGGGCAGCGTATTGCAATTATCTATTTGCACCAACAGTGGTAAAGGTATGCTTTTGTCGGCGCCTGTTTATAAGAAAAAGTTCATCAGTTAGTGATTTTAAACTTACTTGGTCAGAGACAGAAATTTGTTCTTTCAATAACGTTTTTTATAATCCCAAAATTCCTACATTTGATACTATCACTATCATCACTATATTAGTAATCTTTTTCACTTGATAGTTATTTGTTATTTTGGAAAACAAAACAAAATTTTTTGAAATCAAGAACTAATAACAACGAAGCTCAACACTTTTTTAAAGTACAAACTTTAATGTACACAAAATTTGTTTACTCGATTTGTGCATTTTGGATCCCATAAAGGTAACACTAACCGATCGATGTTAAAATCGGGAAGGGTATTAGTACATATAAGAATATTCAATATCCATTTCTCTGAGTTTATTTAAGGCGTTTTTCTAGAACATTACTCACACTGCCGAATGGGTGTACTGGCACTAGATGTTGTCCAGATTAGTGGAAAGATCAGGCACGAATAAACAATATATGTTTTAGTAAACATTTTAAGTTTTGCTTGGTATGTTCAGTCACTTTTTGGTATTAGAACCTTGCTTCTCGAAGGCTGATTGAGTTTTAATACCAATTCGCAGCAGTCGAAGCCTTTTATATCATTTGGTTTCATTAGCTGAACCCAAAGTACGTGCTACAGTTCGCTTGCACTTAAGAATCTTAATCTAATCGGTGTAGTTAACCAATCAATGTTTTTTTTTGCTTATCTTATGCGAAATACGTTTTATTATTTGTTAGACGCTTTAGGATTATGTATTTGTGCACGGCGAAAGTATTAGTTTGATTGGGATTTGGTTTTGAGTTCAACTTTGAATTTCTATGGTCTTGCACTGAATTAGATTTTTAATCGAAATAAATATATATATTTATATTTTATATACTTTATTTTTTAATTTTTATATATTTATATCTATGTATATTTCAATCTATACGAATTTTATCAAATCAAGAAAAACAAACATTTTTTTTATAAATAATTAAATTGGTTTTCAAATGTTTTCTTATTGATTTTACATTAATTTTTACAAATTCCTTAATTGGAGGTAATTAAGGTATTTATTTAATGGAGGTATTACAAATTAATACATAAACTATTTTAGATGTGAATATTACACTCTTGTAACAACAGAGACACTAAAAAAGTTTACTTAAGGGAAATAGATCAATATAAAAATGTAAGTATAAGTTTATTCATAGAACTTACATTGAAGACGCAATATTTTAATTTGTTAATTTTTTTCTTGATTGGTTAATCAGTTAAAAAGAAAATGAAATAAGTTAATTGATTTGCACTGATAGTACACATCTAATGAATCATGGGGTTGCATAAGTACTACTTGAAGTATTTAAATTGTACTTATAAGATTGAAGCATTCATCATCGCACTTACAGGTTCATAAGTTAATCAGCTGCTTGTTGTTGAGTCTTCCGCCGAGTACCCTAACACCAAAGATACAACGAGTGCAAGTGAACTTGCCAAATAAAAGGAAGCTGATAACCGTAAATTAGCCGTCGGTTCACCTGATATGAAGAATCCAAACACCTGTCACCAAAATACACATGTCTCTTAAATATAACTCTTTGCAAATGAACGCGCTATTTGCCGCTTATCAATCGGCAATAGTGATAATAAGATTGGCAATGATTTTTAAGCAAATATATTTGTTTGCATATTTTTAGGCTGCTAGGCAAGCAGTCACCCTTGACAAGCTACTTGCTGTGTTCTCCCTGCTCAGATATGTTTATATAGAATATTTACTTATGCCTGTCGCTGGCACATTAACGTCAATTTATATGCATAGGCAATTTGAAACAAGTTTTATACAATTTCTTACACCCACTTGACTTTACAAGCAGCAACCAGGAGCACCCTGGCACATGTCAAGGATGTCAAGGGGTGAACTTCTCTCGTCAGCCACTTGTGCCCAAATTTCATCAATATTCTCATATTTTTCATAAATTTCAACTGTTTTATATGCAAATTAGCTAAGCGATTTTTCCAAACAGATTGCGAGTAAGTTGATTTTGTTGTTTTTGAAAATTGATTTTTAAATGCTAAGGTCTAAATTATTAAATGCTTAAATAATTGGCCTGACATGGTATTTACGAGTGGATTTTTGAGCATTCAAGTGCATAGACAATTATTTTAATTTGCATATTCTTAATTAGTTTTTGCGCTCATGGAAATTGAATGAATTTTTATTAAATATATTATTTTGATAAAATATAAAAGTTGTTAATATAATAATAAAAAATCGATTCCTTTATTGAATAATGGTAAAAATGTCCTATCTTTTTTAGTTTGATTTTTGATAATGCTACTTATATTTTAAAGTGGAATTCTCTCATTTGAATTATCTCAGGACACATTTAATAATGATTTTTTTTTTTTAATTAAATGTACAGATTTGAGCATATTTTTGCGTTTTAAACGGCATATTACTCAAAAGTTTCCTATACAATTATTTATATTGCGTGCACCACACTTGGACACTGCAATTTGCAAGCTCGTATCTAATGTTTTCCGTTGCATGCAATTTATATTTCTACTCTCTGCATCGAAGTACACATTCAATGTTTGTTTTCCAAGGAAATATTTCAAAATGGAAATTATAAATTTTTGCCATAACCTAAGCTGCAATTAAGGTAAAAGCAAACGAAGAGAGTATAATTTTAATTATGTATGTGTGCACTTTAAATGCACATCGACTTTTCCACATATTTATGTAAATCTTTTTGAAAAATTGTTCTGCACATTTCAGGCCAGCAAAATGGTGACGTTGCGGGGGAGGTTGGAGCTGTGTATATTAAATACCAACACGTGAGCTTTGTAAATTGCTCGACATCGAAGTTGTCGAAACGCATGTTCTTCAGATTTCGGGAAACATGAATTTTGCATTCATTTAATTACAGCGCCCCAAAGCACAAGCCCAGTTACTGACAAATTAATAAGTGCTCTCGCCGGGCAAGGCAAAAAAAATGTAATAATTTTTGCATGACAGCATATGCAAATTGTTGAGCAATATACAATATCAAAGAGAGCGACAGGGCGTAAAACAACGCACGAGATGGGAGGTGGAGCAGGTGAAAATTGCAAGTGAAAAACTTGTTAGCTCAAGGGCAGTTGGTCAGCTGACCAGAAAAAAGAAAACCACACAGTGGAAGTTTTGGTAGTACCATCGTTAAAATATATATAGTTGAATGCTCTCGAAACAGACGATGATAAACTATTACACTCGGAGAAACAAAAACGATAAAGGAGACTATTTTAAATTGAAATGATAAATAATTCACTTAACTAGAAACATTTTTACTTGCTCTTAAGTTAAGTTTTCACATGCCTTCTCTGCGTTTTCCTGAGTGCTGAAAGAAAAAACAAAACAACATAAATCTACCACCAAAAACCAAAAACGTGTACAAGAAGGGTTGGTCGCTGTTCAATTATCTTGTCATTCAGCACACCTGTTGACAGGGTGACCAAGCTGCGCTGCATACTGGTGACAATTAGGCGTGACACACACGACAAAATTCCTATATTAATTGAAAGCACACGACCCGGTCATCAGATATGCTTGTAAAGTTTAATGAAAAATTAACAGCACGAGAAATCAAATTGTCGCCTAATTGAGACACAATATAACCAGCCAACCAAACTGACAACAGCTATTAAATTACGTGTAAACAAAAGTCTTGGACACAACAGCGATTGCCCATCTGGTTGACGCCAGACTGTGCTTCCCGGCCACAGGCTGCGGCAAGTCCTTTCTTTCGGGGAGGGGAGTGGTGTGGGTGGGGATGGGGATGGGGATGGGTGTAAGCCACAACTTCCATTTTGGGCTTGGCGTGACAAATCGCTGGGCTCTGACGTTGGCATTTGATGTGAGGCTTTTGATTTGACAAATTAATTGGGATTGGCTGGCTGAAAGACTTTATTTACTTTCAATGAAAGACAAGTAAAAATACATTTTCCAAATTATTGAGGCATAAATTGAATGCATTGCATTGCGTGTGCTTAAAATATATTACGATATTAGTTTTGGGTTGATCGGAATTTAAGTTGTCCCATATTACTGGTGCGCATTGTATAATTAGACTATGTATCTTTATTTGTAAACGGATGAGATATTGTGTTTCAGGTTATGATGTTACTGACAAACAATTGAAAATTACTAAGAACTATTTTTATGAAGTTCTATAACAGTATGCACAGTGACATCAGGAAACATCTCCTATCCCAAAAAGTATATAACGATAGCTGAGACTTTGGAGTAAGTATTTGTATTCCAATCCCAGATCAATATTAGCAAATTATCTGGTCTTCTAATCAAGATCGCTTTACTTAATCAATATTCAATATTAATTTAGAATAAACAATTTTTTTTTAATTTTTCAGTTATCAATTTTCCTAATTAATTAAACAAAACTGTTAAGGAATAAAGCCTTAATTCTTGAAATTCTTTTTGAAAACAGTATTTAATATTTATTGTTAAAAATATTACTTTTATTTTTAATCGTAACACAAAAAAAAAAACCAAAGCAACTGGCTAATAAAAAGACGTGCTGATAACTCTCGCCAGCTTCCAATATTGATTTCAAAGGACACGTCAGAAAATAAGCTCCCAAGATCTGTATGCGGCAAAAAAAAAAAGAAAAGAGCCAAATAATACATTGGGGAATATGCAAAAAATAAAAAGCCATCAAAATAAGTATACTCAGTCGCCCTAAAGTGCAAGCGGAAATGGGAAATGGGGTAAATGTAATTCGACTGTGAAAGTATGCTGCCCTCAGTGAGCTCAGTGCTCAGATTTTCGGGCTCAGATAATTGCATTAGACGGAACTGAAAATAGAATATTACGGATACAGACATGCATATATGTGAGTGTGTACTTATGTATCTATGGCAAAAATCAATGCCAGTCGAATGATGCTAATCAAATATTGCGGTTCCCATTGCCAAAATAAGAGCCTAAAAGCTTTGACGCTAAAAGAAACTCACACACACACATGAAAAATGTATATGTGTGTGTGTGGCAAGGACAGTTCGACGACATTTTGTATAGGATTTTGCCATTGCTTTGACATATTAAATAATGCGACAACAATTACAACTGTGCAGCATGTGACAAGCGACGCAACCGACATCGAAATCTCACAAGACTCGACCAGGTGAAAGCTCACTCGCACTCCCACTCCCACTCCTCCTCCCCCACCCCTATCGACAGAGGCAGAACAGAAGTTGAGACAGGACAAAGGCCTGGGTTCGACTGGGAGATTTCCTGAAGCGTACATACAGAAATCTCATGCTGCGCTAGCCACATGTCAAACCACCCATAACCAACCACCACCCGGATCGCATCATTGCCGGAATTTGTTTTGCGAGGGGTGCTAGATATTTATTTTGATATAGTATTAGATCATATTCACATTAAATATAGATTATCTCTCCATATCGAAAAGAAAGAAATTGATCACTTGAGAGCTTAAACTCAAGAACTTAAAGCATTTAAAAAAGATAAATAACCAGTTTTGGGCAGAAACTTACATTTTTCAATTAAGAACGAACACGTTTCACACTTATTTTCAGAACGAAATAATTTAAATGAGTATTTCGTATTTAACTTAAGAATTTGTTGTAATTTATGCAATAATTGGTGCTACACATTTGGCAAACTTTTCGAATACCTCTCGCACGCTTACCTTTTGGCAAACATTTTCAGTGTGTTGTCCAAAATATAATATTTTTCATCTTACTTTAGCCGGTTTCATGTAATTTTTATTTTTTTTTTTAAGTTTTATTGACAATGGCTTCTGGCAGAGTTTTTTTGAGTTTTCACTTCCGCTTTTATCAGTCAGCTTGGTCGTCTGATTTTTTTGTGTTCAAGGATTTATTTTGCACTGGCTTTGTAGTTGGGGACTCTTCGAGTTATTCGCAATTTATAAGTATTTTCTAATGGAACACTGAGGTCGAAAGAGAGTGTTTAATATAGTGCTGTTTTAGGAATTTTCTGACTCGTCAACGCAAATTGGAATATATAGACTGTTGCTAGTTACAAAACAGCAATCTAATTTATTTTCAAACTCTATATACAATTGGGATTTTAGATTAGCTTGAACATAAATTGTTCAGTTTACATATGTGCAACAAATACATATAAACCTGCCCACAGTTTAAAAATGATTGGTGCTCCTTTCACAAAATCAACTCAAAAGCTTTTTGGGTACATTTTATTCTGGACAAATCAAAAAGACCTTCCCCGAACGATAAGATAATTAATCCATCGCCTCGGCACACGATTTACTCAGCAAGTGAACTGAAGTATGGGCTATATAAGCGAACTCGCTGAACCAATTTTGGTAATATATTTAGCAAGTGCTCAGTGCAAGAGTAATATATAAAAATGAAATTTAACGAATTAATCTGCTTTAGCTTATTGCTGTTGGTTTCCCTTCTTTTAAATGGGGTCCAGGCTGATGATAATATGCCGGCAACACAAGTCAAACGCTGTGAGTGAGAATATATACCTAATAACTATATATATAATAACGTATTTTTTTGTACTAAAAGGTTCCAATAATAAACCTTTTCCGCTGGAGGTGCGAATTGCTGGATGTGTGGTTCCGCCCTGCGATGTTGTTAAAGGATCCGTTCAGATCTTTGAAATTGATTTTGCAGTAGATAAATTTATTACAAAACTAACGACACGTGTTAAGGCCACAACGTTGGGTATTATAACTGTACCATATGAACTACCTGAGGATGTCGCCGCTGTTTGCCCGAATCTAAAGTATGGTGCCTATTGTCCACTATACCCCACGGAGGATGTTACCTATCTCTTTCAATTCCCCGTTGGAGAATATCCAGAAATTGGTGTCAAAATTGAAATCTACTTGGAGGATCAGGATAATGAAACGGCTACCTGTTTTGTGTGCGATATTAAAGTTAAGAAGGGCCCAGGTTCAAAAGTCTATGAGCTGAATTATCTTGACTAATTTCACTAATTTTACTAATTTCACTTTGAACTTATATTGACATACCACACTGTGATAAATTTATACTCCTTATAAAGTTTTCAATAAAATCTAAAAAAAAAACTTGGGTTTATTTCAAGCATTTATTATTTACAGCAATTAATGCAAGTTATATTATCGAAATAGTTGTTTGATCTATTCAAATGTTGAAATATTTAAACATATTTATGGACAGCTCATCGTTCAGTCCATAAAAGCTATCAATTAAAATTTAAATTGAGCCTTTATTAGAGTGCAATTCATTGTATTGGTTGAATGCTCCCCACTCGGTAGTGCAAACGTAATGAGCCCCGTAAATTGATAAGACGCCAGGTGCTTGACTCGTTCTTATGCGCCTTCCACACCTGTTCATAATCGGTATTCTCGTCCATTAGATAAGCAAGGTCGAAAAGTTACCGCAGCTAAAAAATGATCAGAAATACCAAACGGAAGACTGAAGCGCTTATCAAGGTACAATGCATTTCAATATTATTGAATTTCATAGAACACTATAAGAATAAGTGTATGAAGAATGATTAACATTATATATTGGATAAATAAAGTGCTTACAATTTCTAATATAACATTTCACAAATGGTACTAGCTTTTTCATTTTTTAGCCGCAAAACACATATTTAATAATCATTTGGACAATTTTTCCTATTTCAATTATATCATTAGATTACACCCTATTGTATTAAATAATGTTTTATCTGATGGCTGGATTTTTATTAGATGCAATTATATTGCCAATATTCTTTGGATTGATGGTATATACGAATATATAACAAGATGAAAATTGGCTTTGTTGTGAAATAAACCCATCTTCATTATCAAAAACATATTTTTCAAGAGCAAAATGAGCTTTAGCTCTGATCATCCCATCACAGTTTTGATTATTTTTTTAATATTCTATTTCTGGAAATTTGGTCATAATTGACAACCGTTTACGGTTTCTTTCAGTGCTGCTTTGCACCTGAACAAATCCAAGCCCTATCAACAGTAATCGAAAACTGTTGACCATATGGCCAAATCATGAAGAGTGCTAACCGGTCAATAAATGATTATTATACCTGATTTTATTAATAATGAGGCTAGGCCAAGCTAATAAAATTAATTTATAATTTCGCGTGCAAATTGGCTACGTCACAAATCTAATCATTTATGAAGAGAACTGATTATCCGGTACACTGGAAGGCTACAGATAAAAAACAAAACAATGACGTCAGATGGGTAAACAAACTAAAGTTATTATTGAGAATTCGAATTGGTTTATTGGACAGTTGACAAATTGTGAAATCAGTTAGCTAACAAGTGTCGCGTCGGGTAGACCTCTCTATACATTTGAGTTATGGTTTGATATCGCCAGCATCTAAAAGTATATTCTCGATCAATGATGAGGTTGCTTTGCGTATTTTACAGTTGATTATAAAACAGCTAATCGGATCGCCCTGTCCGTCGTTCAGTGTAACTGTTACATCGGCGGAAATTTCGGGAAATGATGGATCGACGAAAAAGTTCAATCTATAAGTAACATCCTCGTCCTTATCAATGGGGCAAATGGCGCCATACAACAGATTAGCACACACATTTGCATCCTCTTCGGGCAACTCGTAAGGCAGGGACAATCCAAAAACTTTAGCCGACAGAACTGTTTCTATCTGTAAAATATTGTTCTTATCTGTCAATTGGATAAAGAGCATGGGTTAAAGTTGATCATAGATAATAGATAGTCAAAATAATTTTTACTTACCACCCAAAAATTGTACATCCATGAGATGAGTTTGGCCCTTATAAACCACACAGGGAGGCTCTGCGCAATCGTGCACATTTACGCTTAATGGCGATGGTGTGTTGTTACCTAAAATTCCGAAAAAAGCTTTTAATAATGCTCTTAAAAGTATGCATCAATTTTTTGAAAAGTGTTTGCTTTCCTTGATTAGGTAACATTTCGATAGGCCTTATCGCCCATAGCTATATGGATTTAAATTAGTCTTTTTGCCTTTCTATGGGTATATATATATATTCTACTTTGTGCTTTTATTATCTAAGGCGTTTAGATAGAGCACGAAGAAGCCGAAAGTTCGTCACAGAAAGAACACGTAAAAATACATGCGTTCTATGAGTACAGGAGCACTTAGCATTAAAGAGTCATACAGATGAATAATGCTGTTATTCGGCTTTAAGCTCCCCTCAATGATTTTTCTGTTACTTTTGAAAACAGTAGTGTCTCTTTACAATTGTTTACACATCTCAAACCGTATATCTATATTTAGATGAGAGGATGAGTTGAGTTGAGTTTGAAGTTTGATTTTTAATTAGTAACTAAATATTTCACAGTCCTTTTGTTTATTTTATTAAATTTTATGTTGAATTTGGCCCACTTGAGGGAAAAAAGAAAAGCTTGACTTTAAATATATTTTTTTTAGTATGTTCAAGCATTTTTTGTGTTGTTGCTTAAAATTTCTATAGCTTAGCACTTAGAATGCTTTATAAAATCGAAATCACAATTGCTCTAATTTTCACTATATTTTTCCATAACTTACATTCTTTGAATTGGGTAGCGCTGCAAGCAATGCTCAAATACGCCAACGTTAGCAAAACAACACGAAACATTATAAAGGGTCAATTCAATCTGCACAAATTGTTACCAGTATAATACTGTGAATGGAACTATTGTCTAATGGCGGCCACGTTAAATAGCAAATTGTGGAGTTTGATGCCCAAGTTGTTTGAGGTTTATCAGACGCGACGCAGATGGCTATCGAGGGCCACACAATGTGCAGGTGTTACAAAAAGAATAATACATATTAATGATAATACATAGAGTGGAGGCATACAGGTGTACGCCTCACTGTCTCAGTAAATAACGTAAAATTGAACTGATAAGTATTGGAAGCTCCACATTATTCACAACATTTTCCGAAGCAGGCAACATTTTTGCTGAGATTATATTTAAGTGATAAGTAAACACAGCCGGTACAGCTGTTTAAATACATAACAGAATAGTTTTCAAGCAATAATGAGTGAATCATAATCATAATCATAATTAAATGATGGGATTTTACATTGAATTCAAGTCTATAAGCTTCAACACATAAATTTATTGGTATTTCGATTGTTTTAACAATATGCAGGAAATAAACTTTAGTTAGAAAAATATAAACGAATTTTGTAGAATAATACATTTGATTGATGTCGATGATAACGGTTTCCCATGGCCTAAAAAACAATAGATTCAATTTAGTAATTAATATTGAAAATTGTTTTAAGATTTTGAGAAGATTCTTTATTAATTACCTTAAGAGTAACATATAATTTAAGCTAATACGCAATAATCGAGGTAAATCATCCAATTCATGTCGATTCCGCAGGTTAATCATGCTTAATTGGGCATCTCTCAGGAATATCCTTAATATTACGATGTTCACCTGTAAGAGTCAAAGTGAAGCAATTTTTTCGGTGGTCTTTCGACTGCTTTCTTAATTTGGAATTGATTTTGATAGTTATGGGAAGGCTCCTAGGTTGCCAGTATCTTACACTAGATAATACTAAAGGGGTATTCGAGGTTTTGTTCAGTGTATTTTCCTTCTTTGATCACCTACGCATGAAGTTAGTTTGGCAGATATACAAACCTCCGGTGCTCTGTAGGACATATCTAAATTGGTTTTCTCCACATCTTTGTTGTCAAATGCAAGACAAAAAACCAAAAAATAATATGACTTTAGAATAATATCATTCATTAAATATATATATTATCCCTGAATGGACAGTATCTCTTCCATTGCTGGACATTTGCACCATCATTATACCATTTTTATCCTTTTATAATGTCCCATATCAATATACATATTTATTAAATGAGAAATCCTAATGCTGGATTCACTCACAGCCATAATATTTGAATGCCGATGTTGTATTTATAGAAGTTGCATTTGGGTATCGATAGGCGGTTATCGCATACCACCACCAAAAAGGAAAAATAAAAGGGACACATCGCTGAAACAAATAAACAGGTTGGCAGGGCTAACGAGACCACACTTTATTGTGACCACATTTTCCCCAAGATGGCGTTTTATGGGTTTGGGAGAATCCGCCCCATGATAAAGAAATAAAAGTGAGGCAAGTCATGTTTCTTGGCGGTTAAATTTCTGTATGGTGCGAGAGACGATTTTATTTTCTATGAAAGTGCACGAACCCTTGCTTTGTGGAGTAGAATTCGGCGTAAGTATCTTCGTGTAAATAATTTTTAAATTGTGCTAATTTAATGCTATGTGTTCAGGTGGCTAACAGCTATGAATCTCGTCTGCAATCAACCGAACAACGGTGTGGCCTGGATTAAATCTACGGGATGCAATATTTTTACAACGGCGCGGGAATCACACAGCGATTTTTTTATCTTCGGCATTGGAAAAGCGCGTGCGCAGCAGCAACTAGCACCGCACTTTTTTTTTAAGCCGCTGCGTGGGTTCCAATAAGGAGATGGTGCCATCACGCACTCCTAAATTTAAGCCATGAGTTCGATTTATATTAAAACTTACTTTAACTTAAATTAATTTCAACATATGAGCAAAAAAAATCGATTGTAAAAATGTGTAAAATTTGAAATTTAAAACTGCCGGCGAGTCGCCTACACATATAGGTATATGTAAATATTGGAGTATATACTCAGTTCTATTATAACTCAACTCCAAACATATTTACATTTGAATCTGATTCACAAAACTATTGCAGCAAACCCAATTCAACGACCGGGCGTAGTGCTTCCGCCCATCATTTGTTTTTTTCTACCTTGTTGAATTGAAAGATTTCCAATTCAAACTCAAAATGGAAATGCCGTTTAAAAGCCACAGCGCCATCTAGCGGCAAGTTTTGTTATTACCTATTTATTTTGAGCAATGCCTGTTACTTAAATGATAAAGATAATCATTTGTGAGTAAGTTCCTCGGAGGGGAGAATCGCCGAGAACGTGGAGTAGATTAATCGTCAATTCCAATTTAAGTTCGATGGGTCAACAAAATCCGTACAGGCCCAGCGAGTGCCACTGTGGCACTGTGCTTCTCCTGGCACCGATAGTGTTTAGTGAGCGTGCCACAACAGATATGCTCGAGCCGCGCTCCTCCTTGTGCGACTTTGACGAGGTGGAAAATTTGTGCCCATTTTTGGTGTCACTGCCACTGCCACTGCTGCGTGCCACATTTGATGAGCTGCTCGGCTCCGGTTTGTAGAAGGGCGACGACGAATTGGAGGATGTCGATGAACGTGATGAGGGCACAGATGATTTGGCTTTATTCGCTGCCAGCGGCAAGGGCTCATCCGGTATGAGAACAGTGGGCGTGCCAGTTTGACAAGTCACACTTGGCGCCAACGTCGGCGTTCAAGTTGGAGCTGTGTTGGGCGCAGCGATTGTGGCAGCTGCACGGCTAGTGGTGGGCTTGTTGCAACAATTGTCGCACTGCCAGATGTGCTCCTGATCATCGCTCGCCTCCTCGTTGGTAATGGCGGGCTTATGGCACTCCTGGTGATACAGGGCACCACACTTGGAGCACTCGATCAAGCGATTGGTGGCCGTGAAAACCATTTCGCCACAGACACAACAATTTAGGTCACCAAAGTCGCCGGTATCGCCGGTGTTGACGACACCGCTCATGGCTACGACCAGACCACCGATGGTGGTGCTGCCATCATCTGAATCGGCAATGGTATCAGGTGAATCTGATGGCGCTTTATCCGGTGAATTGGTCAAATTGATAATCTCAGCCGTGGCGATTGCTTGGGCCGCTTGCTGAGGCTGTGGCGTCGCCCGGCCCGGAAAATTCGCCTCATCATCCATGAGACGCTGGCTCAGATTCTTTGCAATCATCTTGTCCGGCCAGAAGCGCAGTTTGAGCGCCTCATCGAGCAACAACCGAAGCTCCGACGCCGAGCTTGCATTTGTTGAATGCAACAATTTGATTGCCTTCTACAGCACGGGATCAACTTCCTGGGCAGCAGCGGCGGCTGCCACAATATTTGCAGCCATTGTTTATTGCGTGACTAAAAGATTCGAATGTTTAAAATCTACTTCAATTTTGTTAACAACTCACTAATAAAAAACATGGAGCCAAGAAATTTGCTTAAGAAAACAAAAGCAAAATAAAAATTACTTTAATTGTCAAACAGCTGTTTTAGTGCGTGTGCGTTACTCAACACTGTTTGATTGACGTCGCCCTGGTTTCATTTACTTTGTGCTTCTTCCTCTTCAATGCTGTTGCGCTGTTTTCTTGCATTTGGCATAAACCATAGCAAAAATCTGCGTACAATTTGTATGATTCATTATCGTTCGCTTATCGTTGGTTGCATTCAAAGCGCGCCGATCAGATAAGGTCTTTGAAAAATCGAAACAACAACAAATAAACAGAGTATACAAATGGGGTCGTTTACATTTTACAATTTAGAACTATTATTATCTTTTTCCTTATAAATATGTTATCATTTTTAATTTTTTTGGTTCTCAGGTTTGACAATATAAATATCAGAACACGGAATTTCAGAAAGTTGAATTGATCCGGCAGAGGGTCGCTTCTCTGGATCGTGGTTCCAACAACTCTCAATCAGTTCTATCAATTGGTTACAGTCCGTAATAAGTTTAACATCCAGTTTCGGTCGTTCTTTAAGTACGGTTTTATGCAAAAGTACGATTGTATTGCGACTTTCAAGGTGATCGAAAGGCCTTCTGCGAGACATTACCTCCCATACAATAATGCCAAAGCTGTAAGTATCACATTTTTCCGTATATTTTAGCCCTTGTATAACCTGCGAATAAATAAAGGAACATACTATATATTTTGACAATGTGTAAATTTGTTAATTAATAAAAACCTCGGGTGCCAGATAACCAGGTGTGCCAATTCGTGTCGTATTTTTTGTCATCAATTCTTTACCGGTGCCAAAATGTGCAATCTTCAACTGTTTGCAGTTTTTGGTTAGTAGTAAATTTTGAGGTCTCAAATCGCGATGAATTATAGGCATTGGTTTTCGACCATGCAAGTAATCCATACCCTATAAGTGAGAACAGGAATTAAATTACATGTTACATATTTATTATATTACGCGAACGAACCTTAACCAGCTGAATCATCCAATGAATTCCATCTTCCATTGTGTAATTGCGTTGTTCCTCCCCATGCAAGTAGTCATGGAGCGATCCATTCTCAGCATATTCCATGAGTAAATAATCAGTCTCCAGATGAGAGGAGGTACCATATAGTTTCACAATATTCTCGTGGTGAACAGATTCAAGCATTTTCAGCTCTTTGTTAAATGAATCAAGGACACTTTGTGAATTTCTTTCTAGTCTGAATTCTTTTAACGCAATAGTTCTGTCACACCAAAGGGCCTTGTAAACAATGCCAAAGGCACCGCTCCCAAGAATATGATTTATTCTTTTGTTTGGATTATCTCTTGTTGGTATCTGAACAATCTTTATATCCTTAAAATCCACATTTTTAGCGCGCAAACTCCTATGAATAATTAGAATAAAATGAAATGGAAGCAGAATGAAAAATATTTCATTTGTTACATTCACAACTTACCTCGATCTTTCATCTATAAGTTTCTTAAACTGGATCAGAAAACATTAAAAGTGAGAACAGATACGCATAAGTATATTAATATTACCTCTTCTTTCTTCATGGGTCGTATGACTTGAGAAACTATTCTAGATTCAGAAGTTCTGCAATCAAATAAGTAACACAAATTCAAATTCAGTTATCTTACAACTAGTTGAAATTCAAATCAAGCTTACATAAGTATACTTTCAAGAAAAGAGGCGATATATTCGATTTCCAATTTCATTGTCGAAAGCGCATCAATTATACCTTCTATATGCTCTGTGCCTTCCAAAACAAACATTGGTGAGTGACGAGTTACTGAACGATCAAATGTCTGGCGTGTCATCACCTCCAATAGAATAGTGACAAGGCAGAAAATATCCCAAGAATTCGGTTCCGATCTTAGAAAGTCTGATAACGCTTTAATATACATTTCATATTCCAGAGGCATTGACAGTTTTGCAGGAATGCCAAAATTGCATATTTTCAAAATTCGGTTATTGCCGGTTAGAAGTAGGTTGTGTGTTGTCAAGCAGTTATGATAAATGGGTTCTGGTTTCATGGCATGCAAGTAGGCCAAGCCCTATAAGTGGGAATGTTAATTAAAATCATAATTGTTAAATACAAATTGTACAGCATAAGCAAAATAAACCTTGGCACACTGGGCCATCCAACTGAGTCCACGAGCCAACGTATACTCAAACTTCTCTCCTCCATGCACGTAGTTGTGAAGAGTTGTACACTCAAGATAATTCATAAGGATAAATGCATCTTTCTTATGAGCTATAATTCCAAATATTTTCACAATATTCTCATGGGAAACTCGGCTGGCAAAATCTTTTAAGTTTTCGAAGTCTGCTGAAATCCATTTGCAATGCTGAACTGCGATCTTTTTGTTACACCAATTAGCTTTGTAGATAGCTCCGAAGGAACCTTGTTCAACACATTCCTGGTGGGTTAAGGTAAATGTTTTTAAAATGAAATATATTTACATTTTGTACACAACCTCTCCAAGTTGAATATCCGCAAAGTCTACGACCGTAAACACTTCAGGTTCAATCTTAGCAACTTTGACGAACCTGCGAAATAATTTGTATATTGAACAACAGAAAGATTGAAAGATCATTTATATTACTAAATTCGATTTCGAATTAAAACTTACTCAGGCTTATCCAGCTCTTCGACAAGTTTAGAAATTGTAGGCCGCTTTAATGGGTTTGCCTGCCAGCACCTTTTAATTATTGTCTGTGTGTAATTAAACTCTGATTCAATTATATCACTCAGAGGCGGACGTTTGCCTGAAAAACTCAAAGTTTTTGTACGCTTTGTTGCTAATTCTCAAACTTTCGTACCTTTTAGAATCTCTTCTATTTCATTGCATTTAAAATGTTTTTCAAATTGAGAGAAGGGCTTCTTGCGAGACATCACCTCCCAAAATACGATCCCAAAGCTATATATGTCGCTCTCTCTTGTATATCGGTCTTCTTCAAAGACCTGCTCAGGAATTAATGTTGTTATTAAAAGAAAAAATAATGGAGTGAATGGAAATACAAACCTCCGGTGCTACATAGGCGTGATCTTGATATTTTGCGAGGGATTTAATATCTCCCGGAAAGCTGTAATCACTGATTTTCAAGAGCTTGAAGTTGTCGAACAGCAACATATTTTGAGAATTTAAATTGCAATGTATAATTGACTTTGGCCTCGTCTGCAGAAACTCAATTCCCTTTAGGCAAAATTGAAAATCACTTTAAATTAATCGGGCAAAAATAAAAAGTAAGAAATAAAATAAAATACCTTTGCCGCCTGATACATCCAGTGGAGGCAAAATGGCTTGACTGTGTAACTTTGCATTTCCTCACTGTGCAAGTAGTTGTGGAGGGATCCACAATCAGAATATTCCATGGCTAAATGTGCGATTTCCTTAATATAACCAATACCATATAGTTTCACAACATTCGAATGGTCAAAGCATGACTGTCGTGTGATCTCTTTTTCAAGTTCAGATTTGACTTCATTCCTTAAAACTTGTTTATATTTTTTCAAGCCGATCTCCAAATCACGCCAATCAGCTCTGTAGACAATGCCAAACTGACTGTCCCCAAGGATCTGCAGGAAATAAATGTTAGTTGGAATAGAATAATAAATGTAGTTAGTTAGAATAATACATCATTTATATTTATGTCCGCAAAATCGATGATGACGATATCAAATTTCCTGAAAAACAATAGAGATTCAATTTAGTAGTTAATATTGAAAATTGTTTTAAGATTTTAAGAACATTCTTTAGTAATTACTTTGAGAGAATCATATAATTTGGGCCACTTTCAAATATTCTTTTTAAATCTTCCAATTGTGGTCGGTCCGCCGGGTCCTCATACCAACATTTGGTAAGAAATAATTTTAATTCATCTGTGCATACTGCAGGAATATCCTCAATATTCGGTCGTTCACCTGCAAGAGTCAAAGTGATGAAATCTCTTCGGTTGAATATCATCTTTCGTACCTCTTACGACTGCTCTCTTAATTTGGAATTGATTTTGATAGTTATAAAAAGGCATCTTGCGTGCTAGTATCTCCCACAAGATAATACAAAGGGTGTATACGATGCTCTTTTCAGTGTATTCTCCTTCTTTGATTACCTACGCGTGAAGTAATATATATAATAAATTGTTACAAATTTGTTTGGCAGATACACAAACCTCTGGTGCTATGTAGGACTTATCTAAATTGTGCTTTAACACATCTTTATCGTCGAACGCAAGGCAAAAATTACATAACTTCACTTTGTTATTAGATAACATAATATTTGAAGACTTCAAATTGCAAAGGAAACGAATGTCCATCTTCATCGCAGATAGAAGGTAACCAATGGCCTACAAATAAAATTCGTAATTACAATTTGTAAGTTATTACATATAAGTGCATATGCTCAGTTATAGAAAATACCTTGACAGCAAGCAACATCCAAGCGCAAACATCATGCAAAGGAATGGGTTTCGTGTTATTGTGGATACGATCGAACAGGGATCCATTCTCTATGTATTCCATCAGTAAATATGTAAATTCTCCTTCCATTGCAATGCCAAGCACTGATACAACAGATTTACCTGATAAAGCAATTAGCTCCCTGATTTGATGTTTAATGTTTTCATTCATAACTTGTTTCAATCTTTTTACAACAATAGTCGAATGATACAACGTCGCCTTATACGTAACGCCAAAGGTGCCCTTATGCATTTCCTGTAAAATGTAGAAAAATAAATTTATAAATCTATTCGGGATAGAAGTAAGTTAATATTGTTCAGAGCACAAGATTGTAGTAATCCAACGCGATTTTTTATTATTACCTCGCCCATTTCAATGGCTGCAAAGTCCCAGATTAACCCAGCGGTTAAGACATGATCTAATTCTGAAGAGTCGAAACTTCTGCAATAATATAAATCATTAAATAGATATGTTATCTGTGAATGGTAAGTTTCGTATTGAGCTTACTTAAGAAAATTTTCGATATCGGACAGTAT